TAAAACCAAGGACATTCCAGTGAACATCCACCAAGAGAACTGCAAATTAAAATGCTGTCTCAAGGTTTCAAAAATGTTTCAAAATATTTCTTCCCCCTTTTCTAATTTTAATAAAGCAAATGTGTCCAGAAAGCAGAATTCATTTTTTGCCCACAGACATTTTCTGTCAAGTAACTTCCATGCAGAAAAAGTTAAAAAAAAAAAAAAACAGTCAAAGGAACCCTTAAAATTTACTTTTACTGTGAATTCTTTATGGCTACAGAATAGACATGAGTAATCTAAAACACTTTATAGAGAAACAAGAGCAAAAAAAAAATCAGGTGAGGAGCTGTTCATAATTATATCCTGTCATGCTTAGAATATTGGTTTTAAATTCTCTCCCCAGCTCCTTTTTAATCTAATGATTTTTCTCCTACATCTCATCACCCGAGTGCAGTGACAAAGACACAAAACATATCTTTTAACATGGCCGTAAGTGGCTTTTCATGGAGACATAGATAACAGCTTATCTGATTTATATGACAATTTTCTTGCCATGGGTTTGAAAGTCTGAAGAGATGGAGGATCTGTTCCTCCAATACTTTACTTCATGCACCAAGATAAGATAGTTCTATTGGAAAGAATATAAGTCAGCCCAGTCCCAAAACAGCTGCATGCCTTTCTAGAGATGGAATATAATAACTCACCACTGGAGAAATTCAAAAACCCTTCCTCAAATTGAATTGCACCTTTCTCCTCCTTTCCCTATGGGGCCACTGAAGTAACCAAGGGAAGCAAAAGCTATTTTTTTTGACAGCAAACCTGCTATAATCATATAGCTGTACCATTCACCGTCAGCAGGAATGTATTTGACCTTATGGGATTTATTGGCTCCTAACACACATACACTCACCAGCCCTTCTAGATTTCTCCATCTCCAATTAAATATAATATCACATTCCTAGACAAGGAGACCTGGAGCCTTACCTTCTACTACTATTACTAATTCTTCTACTTGGCATGCAGGCATATTTGTTCCCATAGGTTTATATGGGAGATGCAATAGACCAGGAATTATTTTTGTTATTTTAGGGAAGAGCATTAAAAAATACTGTGATCAAATGGAGGCTTACAGCTACATGATTTTGCAGGCAGCCACATGAATAAGAATGCAGGTCAACTTTTCATTTTTTTTATTATTAAATTGCTAGACAGACCCAACAGCTATTTTCCAGTATTATGACTTGAAATTTTAGTTTTTTTCAGGACTCTTCTTATGTCTTTCAGTTACTCTTGACCTATAGAACTCTAGCAGCTTATCAACATGGACTCTTATCTCTCAGCTGTTACACAGGATGCATTTAATAGAGACTTATGTTCCCCGCCCTGGTGATGACTACAACAAGAGAAAACAAGAATGCATTATTTTCTCTCTCAACCCAAAATTACTTTGTGGAATTCATCACCAGTCTATGTTCTGGAAGCTAAATTACAAACAAGTTCAAAATAAATAGTTTCATGAATTTAAGTGCAATTAAACAAGATGAAACTTCCGGCAAAGAAAATCCCTAAGGAGTTGATTACTAAAAGTTGAGAAAGTAGAAAAGTTGGTAAAGGATACATAATGTCTTCTTTTACTGTTCTTTAATGATCTATTACGAGAGATATTACACTGAGCAAAATGGACCTCTACTGCAAACAATTACCACATCTTTATGTTCTGGAAAAACACATTAACTTGTTTTCCAGCTTTGAATAATAATCATCATCATCATCAAAGTCGATGGAAGTATACTAAAGGTAAATGGCAGAAGAATAAGTTTAGTAAGTGAAATTACTGAAGGAAGAGGAAGCAGCAGACACACAAGGCTACACATTCGACTGGAATGAGTTGTTTCAAGCCCTCAAACAAATTTGATCATACTGACTTCACACTGCTCAGGATCCACACAGTAATAAATAATACCAAATGTAGCATTTGGTATTGCAAGATAGGATCTATATTTCCTCTAGAAAAAATAGAATATAGTTCCTACACATGTGAAAGGCTATAAAATGAGGAAAAAAAAAATCAGATAAGGCATTGCCATTTTGGGGGGGGGGACGGGACACACGACATATCAGTCACTCAAAAATATAGAGATGTGTGGGACTACTTCTTTCTCACTCCCCGAGGGCTTTATAGGTCAAAACTTGTGCTGGGAATTGACACAGCAATGGTCCAAGGGATCCAAAGAGCTCACACCTCATGGCTCTTTCCCCACTGCAGAAAAGACAGATGAAATCTCCATGGTGCAGCCTGTTTTCTGCATTATTATTTCTGCTCTCATCAGGATGATCAAAAAACAACTCCCACAGCAACAGTCTGGTTCCTATGCCTCTACGCGGTACCTTATGCACAGATTTATGCGTGAATTAATAATCTAGCCCTTCAGCTCAGGAGAAAAGCCTTTTGTACTTCAATCTCCAGAGATTTCTAAATTCAGACCCTGCAGGTAATCAGTGAGAAAGTAAAATTAGAGCTTTCCAGACCAGAGAGCCCAAGTCCATTTCCCCTACTTCTACAGTGAATTACTAAAGCTGATCAACAATATTCTGATAAAAATGCTGATTCAAGAGAACGAAAAATATTCCTCGAGAATGTGTTTATTCTGCTAAAACCCCCCTTAGAAGCCAGGCGGGCAGGCACTCCTCGCTGTCCAACCAGCTGGGTAGCCTGGCTGGCTTCTTTCCAGCTTGCCTACCAGCCAGCTGGGCAGCAGGCCAGTGTGCCAGGCAGCCCCCAGCTGGGGAAGAACCACATTTGCAAAAAAACTGAAACAAATTGTTCTGTTTTGCCTGAAGTTCCACCACATCTCGGTTCTGTTCCAGCATGGGATACAACAAAATATCAACAACCCAGAATTTTCCATAGAACAGAAATACCATTTTCCAGCCAATTCTAGTCACAATCTGTATGTGTGCTGTTATTATTGCCTCTCCACAAAAATAACTGTGTCTTACAATGTCTGCTTCAATTCCACTTCAAAAGCATAGACTTAAAGACAATGAGTAGTGAGGAATCAGTCCCATGTTGATTAATCAAGTTTTTATAAAAGAAGTACAACACAATAAAATTCTGAGTATTTGAGAAAAAGGTTCAGTATTTTAAGACTGTTACAGTTAAATACTGCCTTCTGCAAGATTTCTATAAAAATAGCTCTTTAGTCAGCTACTTGGTCAATTCTGCTGCTTATAGTACTAATTCCACAACACTACAGACTGTAACCAGAGGGGTATTTTGCAAGGACTTTGTCATCATGCATATGGTGTTATTCTACTGATCTATTCCCTGGAGAAATAACAAAGCACCTGGATTTCTAATTACCACTATACCAACCTAATGAGTGACCAGTAATGTAGACTGTTCCCTGCTATTTGTAAAACAACCTCCTCCAACTTAAAAGATATGGTCACCTTTTCATCTTTCTATATATCCTAACCATATTAGAAACGTAGCTGCAAATATCACTATTGCTCTAATTAGAGGACAGAGTACTAGAAGTGAAATGCCATACCTCATGCCAACACATTTTGGGTCTTGATAAGGATGAAGTCAGAGTTCAATAGATAATTCATTCTCACAGGCTCCTAATTTATTTCATGTTGCTCTATCAGCAGTTGTAACCTTCTGCCCACTCCCACTAGATCTAGTTTAAGATCAAAGCTGATTCAACTGTCTGGCTGAATTTTTTCAGATGATTCCCCCCCCCCCAAGAAAATTGCATTCTACCTGTACTTCTTTCATAGAAAATCATTTATTCAGCAAATTGTGGCAGAAATGGACAGAAATGGAAACCAGACTAATGTTAATTTTTTAAAGCAGGTCAAAGGATTTCATTCTTGTACATCTATCTATTCCAGGAGTTTTCAGCCTGTTTTTATTAATAAGGTAACAAATCCAAAGTAATCTATTTTAAAAAAAGAAATCTCCTATCAATTTTATGCTTGTGCTCCCTTAGCACATGATTTTGAAGAGGCCATGAAAAGACAAGCACAAAGTCACTTTAAACTACAAAGCCTTTCCAAGAGACATCAATACATACAGCCTCAGTTTCTCACTCAGAATAAAAAATATTGAGGTTCCCCCATCTATATTTTTAACCTGATAGATCCAGCCATTTTTCTAAAGGTGACATCTTGTTTAAACCACAAAACCAAAATTGTTGTTGGTCTTACATACCAGCTTTTAATTTTTAAAGCCAAAGAATTTTTCTTCTCAAAGGATTATAACAGCCTTTAATTATGTTCTACTTCCCCTCCCTTTAATTCATCCTCTCTTCAAAACAGCTCAAGACACTTCTGGTTTCTCTGAAGTAAATTCCTTTATGCACTAAATTCATGCATTCTAATTTAAAAAAAAATAATCTCACAATAACTAATGGACACATTAAGGAAAGAGAAAATAGCGAATCCATCAAACAACAGAAATAAATGATGAATTATTAATCCTCGGCTGAAGAATTTCTAGGCCAAGACTCATGACTCATCTTTTTCAGTGAAATAGTTTTTCAGTGAAGTAGAAATGCTATTTTACTACAATTTTGGTAACACCTTAAGTTATATTCTGCTATAAGTTAAATACTTCAGCCATCAGTTTTCTGATGGCATTATTTCTTACATTCATTTTAACCACTTTAGATCTTTTTTGTTTTCAGGAAGTAGATGGAGAAACCTTCAGATTGAAAGAGCAGAGGATTTAGAACAAATCAATAAAATAAATGGTAACAATTGTCAGGACTAGATGTTATTCCCCAGAGTTTATAAGGAATTAAAGAAATGAATCATCAAATCATTATCTGTGACATGCAGAATGCCATTTAAATCAGCTACAGGATTAATAGAGTGGAAAGCAGTAAGAGTGGCATGAGTTTACAAAAACAGTTGCAAGGAATGCAGGGAATTAAAGTACAGCAGTCTGATCTGTGCATAGGTAAACTGTAAGATTATAGTAAAGCACAGAATTACTAAACATAGATACGATGAAAAAGGAGAGAGTCTATATGACTTCTGTGGAGGCAAGTAATGCTCAATCTCTCTCTCTTCAAATATATTTTTAAGGAGCAAGAAGGTGAATAAAGGAGATACTGTTAATGCATTTTGATTTCTACAAACCTTTCAATAAGGTTTATCATCTAAGCTATTTTGGGATATGAGAGAAGGTTATCTGATGAAGTCTGAAGAGCGGAATAAAGACTGCTTTCACAATCGAGAGCCATAATTATTAGAGGTTACCTTTGCTGGAACCTGTGTCATTCAATATATTCATAAACTATCTAGAAATGGCAGAATGGTAAAGAGTTTTGTGATTATCTGGAGTACTCAAAATTAAAACCAACTGTAGAGAGTTGCAGAAAAATCTTACCACCCTGTATGACTTGGGATAAAGAGGCACATCAAGTTCAGTGTCTGTAAATGTAGAACAACATACATGGGGAAAAGATGACCTAATTATGAATAATGGTGGGGTTTAAATTAATTCCCTCTGCCCAGAAGAGATAGAGTCATTTTGAGTAACTGCACAAAACACATTCTCAAATAGACAAACAATTAAAAGAGTAGAAAACAAAACATTACAATCTCTGTCTTAATCCCAGTCCACCTGCATCTTGAAAACACTTTCAAATTCTAGTTCCTCACCTAAAAAAAAAAATAAAAGTGAACAGGAAAAAGATTGAGACAAGTTACCAAAGCTTCTGTAGAGGAAATATTAAATGAATTGGCAGAAAAATTATGAAGGAGGGATATAATAAAAATCCGTCTAATCATGACAAGCATGGGAAGAGCAACTAGTGAAGGATCATTCCTTTCTCTTACTACAGAAACTCAAGGGCCATTAGCTTTGAGCTTTTTGGTAGATATTTTAAAACAAAGGGAAGTATCTTCCTCTTACAACAGAGAAACTGTGGAACTTAATGTCACAGTGTGCTGTGGAGATAAAAGGTATGAATTATCTTAAATAGGTAATTAAAAATTTTATAGAAGTCCATCAAAATGTATTAAATACATTGACATAAATATAAGGTATGTTTCTAAAGGCCAAGGTTGCCAGAAACTAAGGGAGAAATATGTTACCATATCTTTTCATTCTGCACTCTTTCAGTGCCTGCTACTGGCCACCATCAGAGTAGATACACAGCTAGCTGAACTGCAAGTACTAGCTTTATGATAAAGAGGTATTTAGAAATAACAGGCTTGATTTGGGTTCTCTAATTATTCCTCTCTCCTCCTCACCTCAAACTCTGCCACAGTTATTATACATTTATCTCTTTTTCCACATAGAATTTATCTCTGCATGTTTATGCCTGCACAAGAGCTATGTGCTGTCTGGGAAGTGGACCAAGCCTTTACCCTCGTGCTCTTGGATTAAATGAGTTATTTAATGAGCATATTTAGATCTGGACCCTTCAGGAGATGATCTCATGGTCAGCCATTGTCACTGAAAAGAAATACCAGCAAGAACTCAAAATATTTTCCATACTGGTTCACCACAGTTTTCTATCCCATTCTGTTTAGAAACTCTGAATCAGCACCTGGAGTACCTTCAGCTCTGGGGAGATGACACAGAAGCTGAAGATCAGATTCTTGAAAGTCTGAACGGGATTCTCCTGGCTCTTACTGAAGATAGCTAAGTATCACTCCAGATCACTATTTAACCATTTGCACAATCCAAAAGCATTCATTGGAGGTTTTTGTCTATTGTGATAATCCATATTACAGGAAGTGATTGCTGCTGGAACTATAGCTGTCCTGAGCCTGTTTTGTTGTTTTCCTTTCTCTTTATATACTTGCAAATCTACCTGTGACCAGATAAAGCTACTGGTCACTGAATCACCTGAAGCTGCAGAGAGATTCCATATTTAATATTCTATTTACTACAAACTCCTAGGATTAAATTGGGGTCAGGTCATGAATTTAAAAAAGTAATTCCCAGTCTCATAAGAAAGTCTTTAAGGTCTCTGCACGTGGCCCTGAAATGACATAAACCTGCTTTTATTTGAGTCTCCTGGCAGATGGTGATTTACTACCTTAAGGACAATTGGCCATATTTTTGATGGAAAAAAAGGCTAAGGGAATTTACTGTTCTAATTGCTAGTCTAATAAAAGATGTTATGCCTACCTACAAAATTAATTGCTAGGCCATACCTCAGGAATAGAATCTTAATCCCTGACTTCCCATGCCTTACGCAAGCATCCTTTTATAGTCAGAGAAGATGAATCTGCTTCCCCCTTCGCTTTGCCACCCGTGCTTCAATTCGGCATGAAGCAGAATAATCGGCTGCAACTATACTTACTGCAATTCAAGCAGATGACTGTTCCCATGTATTTAGACTGAGATAGCCTTTAAGTACCTTGTTAAATCAGAACCTTGGATCCCACAGATATCCACTCAGAACTCTACAAAACAAAGCAACATGTAAATAAAACAGTTGCAGACCTACTGCAGGTATTGTTAACACTCTTATCATTACAGAGCAGAGATCCTCCAGCCTATTCAGAGACAGTGGGATCTTCCTAACTTTGGCAAAAATCCTGAAGGGCAATCCACGATGTGCAGTGAAAGCAGCCCAGGTGCTTTCAGAGATAGCTAAGAATGGTACGTTGTACAAAAGTGTTACTACAAGGCATATTACAGCACATTATGTATGTTTCCACTCTTGAGTTTTGTTTCATGGCTACCAGCTATTGGTCTTGCAATTGCAATTGTTTTATTTCAACATGGCAAAAAAGCACAAGTCCCTCTCCTTTACCTACACAGAGGAAATGAAGAAACCATGTATTGAAGCAGATTTGGTTCTAACTTTGATACCTTTGCTGGAGAGCACAGACGAAGAAATGTTGCTTCATGCTGGGAGGGCTATTGGCCGTATCTGTTATGATAATCGTAAGTATCAACTTGAGAGAATCCTATTTTCCCTAGCTGTAAGGCATTATTTTGTAAGGCATTGTAACCTGTAACTAATAATAATTTTATGAGACCTGATCACACAATGCACTTCAGCCTCCAGCTAGATATACAATTCACACAGTTCACAGACACCAGGCTGAAAGCATCCCAAACACCTCCTAAACTCTGTGTTTCCCCCTTATTTTTGACTTCAAGGTGACACACCTTTGTCAGAACTGCTCTGCAAATACAAAAGTAGCAGAGCCTCGTACATATATCAATCAATTTTGCAGAACTGCCTTGGACCCAAATCCTGAATGGCTTTGCCTTCTTCCAAAGTAATAACAGCATCTATAAAGCAAAGCATATGTTTAAAAAGTATGTCAGAAAAAACATACTCTAAAAAATAAAAAATACCGAGATATTTATCTGTGCAAGGAATGGTCTTCTCTGAGGACCATTGCTTGCATATAGGAGATCTTTGTGCTCCAGATTTTTCCATAAAGTTAGTACGCTAGCTTGCCTGCTGGTCTCACAAATTAAAACCCTTTTCATTTACTTGCTCCAACAGTTTAAGATTTTTCTTTTACCTTTAATTCCCAGACTGACCAAAAATATTTAATGCATACTGAAGGCAACATGGAACTTTTCACCCAGCATCTTCTATCCATTTCCCTCTGCCTTCAACCCACCTTCTCTATTTTTTCTAGTGTGGACCTGTGTAGCTTTATCTAGAAATCTATGTGTTTGCCTCCCTGCATTGTTCCTATGAAATACAAGCAAAATAGGTACCTGATATAGATTCTACTAGCCCCCTGCAAATTATATGTATTTGCCAAGGAATGCCACATAATAGTTTAAAAAACACTTCTCCATATGATTACATGCAGGGCTCATGCAACTACTGTACAACATTACTACAGCATATGGCCATACTGCAAATCTGCTTCACTTCTGTCAGAACACAGGCCCAGCATAGATTTGACAAGATGACTGTGACTATAAGATACATGCTTTAATAATTCCTATTACTAACACAGCAATAAATACATCACAGAAAAGTTAATGTCAGTGATTTCCCAATTGAATTACAATTGTATATGCTACAATAGCACCCACTTTCTGGTGTCTGTCATATACGTTGTCATTCAAGTTGCAGCCTAGCCCTCAGCAAGATGCTACTGCAAAAGCAGTGTCATTGTACTGTTAAGCAATCATCCCTGTCCAACTTTGTATTTCATAGTTCTCGGCATTCTCAAAATCATTTTAGATATTCAGCTTTCATTCATTACAAGACAAACTACAAAAAGAAAAAAAGTTACCAGTGTTTTCCTCAGCAATTCTGCATGTGGATAGAGAAAACTTTAGTTAGTATATTAGAACTGGGACCAAATTAATTTTTCTACTTACTGTACTTTGTTGAATTCCCTTAAGTCACACAAATTCACACCTGCTTGAGAACCTTACTCAGCCTATAAAAATTCTAAAGATGCCTTGAATTCAAGCACTCTAAGACTCCCTACATGCTGAGCAACTAACATTCAAAAAAATGGAAGAGAATGAATCCCCCAGATCAACTTTAGAGCAGTCTGTCTCTCAGTGGTATCTTATAATAGCCCAGGTATTGGTAAAGTGTCTTGTTTTACAAAGAAGGTTTGTGGTTGGTTTGGTTGTTTTTTTTTTTTTTTTTTTAAAAAAAAAAGAATCATTATTTTAACATGCAAAAAGCAGACATACAGATATTTGCTATACGAGTCAGAATACTGCTGATCCCTGAAAGCAGATTCATCACTGGCCTATGCTTTATCTTCGGTTTCCAGTCCCTTCCATCTCCCTGCCCTTCAGAACAAAAGAAGCCATAGGATAATAAGGCTGAGATTCCCATTCCCTGAGAGAAATAAACCAACTCTCTGTTCCTCACTCAATTTTCAGATACATATGAAGAGATACAGTCCATCAGAACTCACTTTAGAAGCTGCACTAGTAGTAGAGATGCTCATGCAATTGCCCTTATATATTTTTACAGTGGCTTAATTCCTCAAGTCAAAGTAGAACCAGGAGGTTCAGCAAAACTCTGTCCTGAAACCTGCATTTCTCACACACAGACATTAGCCTGAAGCCACAGCACAAAATCTGTACAAATTCTAACAGTGTGAGAAAGGACCAGACTATCTTGCTGCAAAGCATCTCAGTTGAACATTTTTTACTGATTTAATTAGTCCCTATTTAATCACCTTTAACTTTTATGCTTACTATTAACCAGGGGATCTTCAGGAAGAGCTGGTGAAGGTAGGAATAATCACATCACTAGTCCGAATATTAACCGATTATGCAGAGAGTGAACCACTTGTCCATGTTGATTTATTAGCCTTATGCAATCTTGCAGACCTTGGTAAGTAATGTTTTCGTATCTTAGCAAAATATCATCTTCACACTGTCACTGCCTTTCCATGTACATGCACAACGACCACAAGTTTGGGGGGAGGGAGGGTTGTTTGGTTTGTTTTTTTTCTGGGGATTTGGTTTTGTTGGTTATGGGAAGGTGCTGGTTTGGGGGTGAGGCAGGGGGTTGTTTGGTTTGGGTTTTGTTTTTTAAACACTACTGATACCTAATCAGGGACTGGACACAGTATCTGTGTTGGAGAAGTAACTACTCTTTCCTGGAGTATCAGCAATTGCTGGTACTATATTAAAACAATGAAGATTCAATAGACAGCTTTTGACCCAGAAAAAAAGTATAGAGGGCATAACTTCATGTGGTAAATTGACAGTTTCAACTATTTCAGATGCGGTATATTAAGTACTCATTTATTTAAAATTTATTTTTATTTAATAAGTTTATATACCTTGATGAAACAGTTTCCCTTTTCATTTACACAATTTTCAAACCGAAGGCATCTCCACTGATTTAAATTACATCTGCCCTACTTTACACAAGTTGTTAAGTAGTGACAGAAGAAAAAGACCAAGGAGAAAATTAGTAACACACTTTGTATATGGTCTGACTACAGTTTGATCTACTGCTTCCTGCATTTAGGGGTAGAGGCAGGGAAGGGGGTATGGTATCACACACACTGTCACATCATCCTCTAGTGAGGTCTGTCCTTTATAGATCTCTCATATTACTTAATACCCTATTCCATTCTAGTTCTTTTATATTACTTAATTCCATTCAAATGTGTTCTATGTCAGACAGCAGGAAGCTTTAAAAAAAATCTGATCTTTGTTAACATGCATCTTGTAGATGTTTAGGATCCCAGCAAGACTAAAACCATCTAATCAAGGCAGAAAATACACTACAGCAAACTGGCATGTGCCAATTTGATATATTAAATAATCATACTACAGATGGATTCATAAGAGTCAGTGGAATTAAGCCAGGATTAATTTGACAGCTATTATAAGGTCATAGGTACAGGAATTAGACAAAAATAGTGTTAAAGAAAGAAGTAGCGGGGAGAAGGGGTGGAGCAGAGTTTTGCTGCCTCAGTGCTGTCCAAAGGGGCAGAAGCATCTATAAAAACAGAAAAAGCATTAAAATACAAAGTTGTGTCTAATCACTTCAGATTATAGGGAGATATGCTTTTAACATTTAATCCAATAAAGAACATTCAAAATCCTGACTTTACCATATACACAGATACAGCCAAGGAAGCTCTAAGCAAGACAAATGTTGCTGAACAGCTGGTGAAACAACTGAGAAGAGCAGAGAACCATGAGAGGCTAGAAATTGTCCTTGAGGTCCTGCAAGCACTTGCAGAAAATGGTAAGGCTCCTTTCAGCTTGGGGGAATGAGGAGAAACAGGGTACTGGTACTTAGCTTAAGCTCTGGGACCTGAGTTTGCCATGGGATCCTACTAATGGAACCAGCAATCCCTTCAGTGGAAATAAACCAGAACATATGAAATCCTGGCCTGAGCAAGATTTTGAAGCATAATAGGTGAGGCAACAAAGAAAGGAGGGAGAGAATAGCATTCCACTCTATTTCAGTAGATCCATAAGATAGCAGATTCAAACTCATATTCTCCATGGTGCGCAACAGGAAAGCAGACTAGACAGATTGGTCTTTTATTTTAAAAAATGACAGGCAAATATCATAGAAGATGTCTACTCTAAGCAGTGGTGTAACAAGCACCAACAAAAATCCCCCAAAAATATCTAGATACGTGATACAGATTTTAAAGAAATGAAAACTCATGAGAGGCAATACAAGAAATCTCAAAGCTCAATGCAGCAACTTTGCGCATTCTGTCTTGGTGTTATCCTAGCACCAGATGTCTGTTACAAACAAACCCAAAACAGTGACTGCACCTGAAAAAAAGACTGGCTGAAGTTTAAGGATTTAGCTTCCTTGTTTGAAATCTGCAAAGACCCAAGAAGCTTTTAGTGTGCTTTTACTATGATCTCTACAGATGCTCTGAAAGTGCAGCTGGTGGAGGCAGGTGTGCAAGAGGTGCTGTCCGAGATCCTGCTGAGGCTCCAGGCTAGTTCACAAGCTGAAGATACATGCATTGTGAAGGCTGCATCAGATCTCATTGTCTCTCTGCTTCTTGGAGGTAAAAAAAAGGAATACTGACAGTCCACATACATAAAGAAACAAGATCAAAATGTCCCCTTAGCAGAGGGGTTGCCATCTGTTCTGGTTTTTTATAGGAGCCTAGTGCTCACCTTGCCATGCTTCCCTTCAAGCATAGACATATGTTGCCTCAAGTCATCTAATACCACTGTGACTGCTCCTGTGCAGAATGCAAACGCGAGCACAAGAACTTCAAGGCCCCTGTAACTGTACCTGTGGTTGTCAATTCACACCCTGCTTCTATAACTTTCAAAGCTGGCCTAAGAGCCAGTTTTAAGTTTAAAGCTAACAGATTAAGTTCACATGATATTGAACTACTCAGGTTTCCTCATTCCGAACCTGTGTACATACTTTGAACATTTGGACTAACAAACGAAATGCAAGAACTTTCTTGTAATGTAAGTTCTGCATCTATTATTAGGAACAGACTACACACATTGCTGACCTAGATTTTTCTCTAAGTCTTTAAGCTGATTTCAGGAACAACAAGAAAAGGCTAATGACCTAACAGCAACTTAATTTAGGTGGCCTTGCTATGTTGTATTTTGGGCAACACAGATTAAAGAATAAAACATCAAGAACTGGACATCTATACTGCATCCCACCACCCCCAATCCCAAAGCAATCAACAATTTAAAGGCCTTAAATTATTAATTATAACAACAACCTAAGTAATCATTGATTTAAATCTCCCCAAAGACAGAACAGTTCACTTCAGGGCTAATTATAAACAGACATGAGATGTTCTCTCTATTTGTCATGCCACAGATAAGTACATGCAGAAGTTGTTTTGCTAAGGGATGTAGCATCATCTCCCAGAATGCTGCTATTTGCATCACATCCAAACACATGCAGCTACAGAGACAGGAGCAACGGCTATTGCTAATTTTACAAAAAATGGTAAGGTTGGTTATTCTCTACCTTTTGAAGATTGAAAGCCACTGTTTGTGAGTGGAGAGAAAAGCAACACTACTAAATTTCATTGCTCCCTGGCTCTGAAACAGTAACATTCTTGCTTTTCTGCAGACTGGAGACTTGCATACCTTTACGTTACACATGCTAATGACATCGAAGTAGTTTGAGGGACATAATTGTGAAAAATGGGGTGGTCAGGTATGCAAGCTTTCGCACTTTTTTTCCTAAATCGCACACTATTAGAGAGGAGACTCTGGAAATGTTTCATGGCAAATACATTTGTTAGAAATATAAAAAAATAACACACAATTATTGATGCTTTAGGTTTTAGTAACTTTTAGGAAGGTAGGGTTAGTCAGACTTACCAGAGGGGAAAAAGAAATCTCAAGATAAGTCATTTTATCTTTTGCACTTTCCTATTATAGAAAGCAATGAGCCTTAATACTATACAGAAATACAGAGAGTCTCTCATAAACAGACTCCTGGAATGCATGCTGTGTTGAATCAGTCAGCAGAAGATACCCCACCATGTTTTCTGTCCTTTCTCACTGATAGTTACTGTACTGGGTTCATACTCAATTAACAAAAAGGAGCTTTTTCAACATTGCTCAACTTTCTGCATTAATATGTGCTTAATTATCATAAAAGATTCCCTCATATCTGTCTGAATGTTTAGCTAGTCAGTCTCATCTGTTGGGTTTTTTTGTCTGTTTGTTTTTAAAGCAAGCCATCATACACACAAATCTCCACCTCTCCCCCACATCCTTTCTAGACTCCTTTTTTTGTTTTATACCTTGCTCTGAATTAGCCATTGTGCATCACAGTTCTACAAAGGCCACAGAAATGCCCTCGGTGCCTTTAAACTGGCTATCTTCAATTTATTCAGCTGAATGGCTTGCTTTGTCACTCGCTCTTCTCCCTCCATCTCCCCCGCAAGCCCATTAGATGTTTCATGTGGAAATAGCGAATAATCCCTCTCAGGCCCCAGTGTGTGCCACTGATGTATGCACAGCCTTTAATCTAAGAGAAGAAGAAAATCCTATGGAAATCTGATCTCAGCATCAAACGACTTCTGAGGCAGCGAAAAGATGACAGACAGCGTTTGCAGCTATGAAAATGGCTGTTCCTATAAGACTTTAACTATGAGCCATTAAATTGAAGGTTCTGCTGCTATCCAATCAAAAATCCATGGGAGAGAACACCAGTTTGGAGCTCAATGCAAGGCAACCACTAATGGGTTCTGCCTATTCGCAGAACATGAGAAAAAAATGCTCTACCATTCTTTGGTTTGCAAGGTGGGTGGAGGAGAGAAATTAAATTCAATTAAGGTTAGCCTATATGAAGATCAAAGTATTTTGCCTGTAGAATACTGGCAGACCAAAAGAGATGGTATATTCCTAGAGAACCTGTTCCTAGAGAGGACTGGGCAATTTTCCTCATATACTCTGATCTCCAAAGATTAGGCAAGAGAACATTTGAAGAATCACAAGCAAAAACATCAGCTTTAGAAAATGTATGTATAAATTGATATAAAAATATTTTTGCATGAGTAGAATTCAAAATATTTCACAGACTGACAGTCCTCTCATGAAAATATCCACTTACATTTTAAGCATTTGACAAATTCTTAACATATGTAGTAATACAGGGGAAAAATATGCTACTAACTGAAATGCTAAGAGATTAAAGGAACAGTAGGCATTGGTTGAAATCACAACATGGAGGAGTTTCTACTACTTCGGGGTAGAAATAACATTCAAACCAGAAAAGGTGTTAAAATTACTAGAGCCATTTTTAAGTGGTATACACACAAAAATTAGAAATCTGTACGTTTTAGGCATGCAGTTAGTACCATGAGAAGCACCTAAAGCTACTTTTGGCCAGATTCTGTATTTGCATGAAGTCTATAGTTCCATGGAAAATTGTTTACCCCAGGTGAAGACGTGGTCTTCCTATATAGTGTTCACACTGTTTTGCCACATTTTAACAAACAGCATTCTATAACAGCACCGCAGTAAGGAAATGCTGACTGGTGTCAAGAATATGCCTCTCAAGGTATAATAAACTGTCTAAAATAAAATACAGAAAAATATTTGCCAAATGGCATCTTCAAAACACTTCCTTCAGGAAGGATGCAGACCGTAATATGGAGGGTTTCCTTTTGCTCTTTAGGAGAACACTTTCTCATTTCCTATCAAGGTAAGCTAAGTAGCTTCTGATAATAAAAGGGCTGTCACCGCTGCAAAGCAAGTTCTCAAAGAGAGAAGGAGACATACAGACACAAACTGACAAAATATTGCAGAGCATGTACTGGGCAAAATGGCAGTTCTTTGGAATGTACATATCTGCTCTTTCACCAGCATTAAACAGATCAGAACTCTCTAGGTCAACTCATTTTTCCTAGCTCCATATGACTGCAACACAACTAGACTTCTCATTTCAGAAAGTGGGTTTCTCAAAAAAGGTAAGAAAAACCTAGGCCTGATTCTTTCAATGATTAGTTAATGACAAATTATTTGATTTAATACAGGGAGCAACAGCAGTACAAAACTAATAATCAGACTCACCATTGCTGGATAAGATCCCTGGTCTCACAATAACATCTTAAGCCAGTAGAATAGCAAAATTGGAGTATTAAAGCTATCCTGTAGAGAAATGGAAAATAGAGTATCCCACCACATATGTAGGGGAAAATAAAGCAATATTGAAAAAGAAATTGACTAGAGAACATATGATTTTGAATTTGACTATGACTGTCCCTAGAAAGCGCTCTCAAGCTAAGCTTTACTAGAGGGTGTCTCAGCATCCGTTCACAAGTGGCTGATGCCCACTTATCTCTAGAGAGTTGAAGGTTGTAAAAAACAACCCAAAAGCTATAGTCTCAATCTTATCAAGACAAGGAAGCAATCAAGGCAAAGACTCCCTGAATTCTCAATTTGCATGATTAATTTCTATCACTGTGTTTCTTATCTCTCTCACCTGCTTGGTTTTGCCTCTTTCTTCAGATGGCAACTGTGTACGAATGGTACAGCTGGGAGTCATACATCAGCTTCTGGATCTTTTGGAGAAACACGTAGAGAGTGGGGACGTCTCTGTTCAACATGCTGCACTCAGTGCACTTCGAAACCTTGCTATTCCAGGTACAGAGTTTGAAGACAATTGACGTACAGTGATTCTTTGTAAAGATGGGCCTCTTAATGGAGATCTGTGCAGCTCTGTCCAAGTCACCAATTCCACTCCCTTGTATACTGAGGGGCAATTAACCTTTCCACCCCTGCAGAGACATATATATTTGAATAATTCATCAGGACTTCTGATCTACATAAAGGGTCTAAATATAATAAAGTGTGATCTTATTGCCAGCTGCTGAAATGGTTTCATATTAAAAGCATACAGCAGTTCAAGACAAAAATGCAGAACATGGTTTATAGCTTAAAATAGAGAATATGGGGTGGAGCTATCGCATCACAGCTGGTAGGGATTTCATAAATCTGCTCCTCTTCTATAAAGCCAATATTCATTGCAAATTCAGCCTTTGTAACACACTTAACTACAATACTTAAAGGGGGCATATAAGAAAGATGGGGACAGACTTTTTAGTAGAGCCTGTTGTGATAGGACAAAGGGTAATCATTTTAAACTAAAAGAGGGTAGATTTAGATTAGATAAGGAAGAAATTTTTTTACAATGAGGGTGGTGCAACACTGGAACAAGTTGCCCAGAGAGGTGGTAGATGCCCCAACCCTGGAAACATTCCAGGTCAGGTTGGACGGGGCTCTGAGCAGCCTGACCTAGTTGAAGATGTCCCTGCTCATTGCAGGGGGGTTGGACTAGATGAGCTTTAAAGGTCCCTTCCAAGCCAAACGATTCTACTCTTGTGATCTTTTGTTAATACACATCACAAAATTGTGCTGCTTCTCATTTCAAATTTACTGCTTCCATGTGAAAGTGGAAAAAAAAAAAAGTTTTGCTAGAGACTTAACAGTACAGCACCCTGCAACACAGTTCTTACACTGCTATGCAGTACTCCAGAGAAGAGCACAATACCAACACTATTTTCTGAAAATAAAAGAACTTGAAGTTTTCTCCCAATTTTATTATGTAAGCAAGCCAGCATGTGTGGTTTAACAGTTTTATACATAATCATAGCTTTGAACAAGGGAGCCCCAGAATATACTAGTTGCTACTTTGCCTCCCCTACTTCCTTTTAAAGCCTAATACACTCTCATTTCTTCTTGCAGATAGCTCTCTTCTGAGCTTCACCTATTACTTTCAACTTGTTTTTTTATATGGTCTCAAGTAATTTATTTAGTTTGGCTTATAGTATTATCACACTCTCTGGATCATAATAGTGAGCCATGTCTGCCTATTCATATTTTAATAAATACAGCTCACACCATAAGCCCCTCACTGTTTCTATGTATATTTTATTTCTCTGTGAAGAGATTTTCTACCACCATTCACATCAGCAGAGGCCTGTGCAATTTGTGTTTTGGTGCTAACAAAGCATGCAGTATTTCGATCATGCATGCCAGCTACCTTAAATCAGTTACAACTTAACACAGAGCTATTAGAAGATAATCATAGAATCATGAAAAATCATAGTGAGCCATCCAGCTGTAATTAGGAGTGTAATTTAGTAGGCAAAATGTAACTATCTTTGAGAATTAAAAGGTAGATTTTTTTTTCTACAAGCCTTTTTCTATAGAGGTGTCCCATGCTTAGTTCTCATTGATTTCACTCTGCAATATGTACAATTTTAATTTAAAAATTAAGTAGTATTTAATCATTACAAGCAGAAAAGATACCAATTAATCTCATTTGAAAGACAGCAATTTTGATGTAGTTTCCCTTGACAACACAAATGATCACATTCTAACTCACAACAGAACCTGTTCCTTAACGAACACCAAGGCCCACTTTTTGCATTGCCAAGCCCACAGGCATTGCTTAGCAGTTCCTTAGCAAAGCAATGAACACAGCTGATCTTGCAAAGATTACAGGATCTAAAAATCCAGAAAAATGTGGTTACAACCTACAACTTCACCCCTCTATTACTGCCTGCTACACATAGTACCAGCAGATCTTAATGTTCTTTGCAGCTGTACTTTAAAAGGCTCAACTCTGAATTATAAAATAGACTCTGTATTGATATGTTGATATTTTGATTTCTGTTCTGTTCAAGTCTATTACATTTTAGAACTTTCCAAGTGTGTGGGCAATGCATAGCACTTAAAATGTACTACTACACTGTACTTTTCTTCTGCAAGACATTCCCTCACAATAATACATCACTTCCAGAAATACACAAACTCTATCACTTTCAACAATATAGTCTGATACCCAGGGAAAAAAAAACAACAAACCACCAAACAAAAAAAGATGATGAGTGCAAATCCAAATAAATCATAAAATAAAAATTAAGTCTGGGCTAACACTTGCAAATAGGCACAGGGGAAGTCTTAAATTCAAGCAATGATCTTAAAAGAGAACAGGTGTTTATAAAAAAAATTGCAAAAAGTCATTATGCTCTAGTGAATGGAGTCAGTCTGTGCCACTGAAAAACAAGGACATTAAGAGTAAGTGCTTAACAGTGTCTGCTTCTCAATTTGCCCAATAGAAGGAGAAAGATAGAAAACAGTTATCTCCCTAATTTCACTGTCCTGTCATTCCCCATCCCCCCCCAATAAAAAAAAAAAAGGGGGCACGCACAGGATGGGAAGAAAATTGCTCTGGAAGAAGCAGCTTTTGGTAGCACAGTTAAGGAGCATTAGGACTCCTTCCAGGCAAGCTTCTGATTATTACCAGGGATTACTGCACTAACGACTGAAGCAAAGACACAAGAATTGGGAAAGCACAGAAGCAAAGGCATGAACAACAGGGGATCAGTGAGCTCAAATACAAAAAGAAAATTCATTCTCAAGCAATATGGCTACGTAAATCACTTCTGCCACCCCGTTAAGATAAGCAAGCATAGGAAAGGCTTGCTCATGTCAGTGGGAGAGTGGATGGATAATCTATTACAACCAGAAAAAGGAAGAGAAACAACAATGCTGTGTTTATCCTCTTTTATGTACTTCATTCCAGGCAGGGCTGAGATCGAAAGTAACCAAAATATCATAACAGCAATTCCTAGGAATTTTTTAGCTCAAAAGAGAACCCTAAACAGCCAGGTAGTCCTGACTTCGTTTCTGAGTGCTCTAAGAAGTTGGACTTTTTGCTAAGAGCACAATGGAGCATAAAATTCAGAACAACAGTTACATCATATCTACATTTTCAGATGCTTGTGTAGTTACTGAGCTTCACATCAACATCTTTTTTCCATTTTCTAGTTGTTAACAAGATTCAAGTGCTGGAAGAAGGTGTGGCAGAACGGATTCAGGCACTTCTAAGGTCAGAGATGCCTCCTGTGCAGTTCAAACTTCTTGGAACACTACGCAAATTAGCAGATGGTCAAGGTAGGGAATTGCTAGTACTTACTCATGTCAGCTGTACACCCTTCTCCTCCCCTCCCCCTGCAAGACAATGGATATGCAAGGAGACTACAGGCTAAGTGTCCTGCTAACCTAATTCTGCTCAGTCTGGAGAGATTCCAACAGAGATGATTGCTGAAGGCTCCAATCAGCCTCAGAGGTAGATGAGAAATAAACCAAACAGAAGAATCTGCAGCAGTCAGTGAGAAATGGCAAAGGCCTAAAAGGAAGATGTTTTCCACCAAAGATATACCAGCAAGGCACAAGTATGATGGAAAAGCATCAGGCTAAGGATTTACAGTGCCAAATCACAGGAAAGCAAATCAATAGAAGAACTGGAGAACATAAAATGATCAAAGGGAGCTGGGGTGGAGAGAGGCAGGAGAAACAAGTTTCTACCAGTCACACAGTCTCTCTATGCATTTATTGCCAGGTTTATCTTGCTGGCGTAGCTCAAATGTTGAATTTAGTTTGCATGTTGAAATGTGGGATTATCTACTTGCACTTCATTCAGTTTTACAGAGGTGGATATGCAAAGGCAACAATACTCACCTGTGCATACAGTTGCATTTTGAGAAACATGCATAACGTCAGAATTGTGTTAAGATCCAACACAATATCTTAATTTATTTTTAGACTTACTAGCTTCTTACCAGAGTATAACACAAAAACAAGTGTTGTGAGGTTTGGGTTTTTGGGTGTTTTTTTTTAATGGTGTTGTAATTCTTTCATATCACCAGAGCAGCTGTTCTAGAACACTAATTAGTAGTGCCCACCTTGATGTGCAGGAATAACAAGAAATAGGTCAAAAACAGAATCAGAAGTGTTATGACCATTTTGCAATGGGAATTGACAGCTGGTATGGAACAATTACAATCACAAATTTAGTAGTTATATGGAAGGGGAAAAAACCTCACTCCTACATTTCATGCTGCACTCATTTTCATTTATACCACTGCAGACACCACTTTGATAGGGCAGCTACCTGCATCCTTTTCAAATTAATATGCATGACATAGAATTTACATCTAGCAATCATTAATTGATGATTAATACATCATAATCATTAATTGCACTGATTCCAGTCCAGTAAAAAGCTGCTTTCACCGATATTCCATCATGGTAGGAAACGGACATTGCAAGATATACAGAAACTTAACCTCTTCTTCTTCTCAGGCTTTGCAGGAAGTCATTAAAAGGTCATTTCTCCGAAGCTACATCGGAATTCCAACAGGGGAGACCATTTAACTTTTAAAGTTGAGACATCATAATAACACAGATCTAAATTATCAAACATATTATCTAGATTTTTTTTTTTTTTTTTACTCAATGCTATTTACCAGCGCTAGTATGAAGTCAGAATTTGGCACAAAATGGTACAACTTCCAAATCTGAAACAATACAGATATCAAAGTGTAAAGTAAAAAAAAAAAGATGTAGAAGATCATTCAATGTTTACTGATTTCTGCCTATGAACACACAATTCTCCCACCTTTACTTTCTATTCTGTTTACCCATGAGCCAACACTGTCCTTAATTAACTCAGCCTGAAACTCTTTGAATACACATCTACTAAGAAGTCCACACTAAATTAGTTAATTGCATTATCTAGTATAAATTCATTATTCTGATAATCACTGGGCATGCTGAGACCTACTGACTAGAAGAGTTAGGTTTCTTTCTAACTATAGAAAACTGCAGTCAGATCTGTCAGCTTCATTACACTAGAGATGTTAACATTAACTGGTTTTCACAGTTTTGCTTTTTTGCTTCAGAGGAGCAGAATTTCTGCACTTCAACAGCCAAAGGACTTTCAGCTCAAGTTAAAGTTCAGTCATACACACAATTTACTCAAATTTGGCATTTTGTAAGTTAAAATGTCCTCCTGTTCTGGTTAAGTATAACTAATTGGGTTTTATCTCAAAGAGCTCTATTGCTGGCAGACATCAGGAGGTCCCTGTCAAACTGTGTCAAGAACAACCTCTTTGAACAACCTCTTAAACTGGTTCCATTCACCACCCTCCTACCTCTTTCAGCTTTCTGTACTAAACTGGATTACCATGATCTCCTCAGACTAACATGTAACATCTGACCTAGAAGCAAAAGCCTTTCTCTTACAGAAGGTAATATGCAGGTGGTATGCAACGACAAATAACTATTACCTCAAAAAAAGTATGTTCAGCTAGACTAGAACCTCCCAGATTCCTTATGGGATTTTGCCCTGTGGATTATTCCTTAGTGTACTGGACAAATTAAAAAAATGAAGTGTCCATCCTTCCTCATCTCCCTCCCCAAAATAGAAAAGAGTATAGGTTGACTTACAGTTTCTGCAAAATATCCAGAGTAATCATGTGGTTTATTGACACTGACCTTCTGGTGCATACTCTACTTGACCCTTTCCAGAATATCTCAAAACAAATGCAACAAAGAAAGGGACAGGTAAAGAAACAGGAGTAGGGTGATGCCCCTGTCAGCCAAACCTATCCCTTCTGTTCTGGATGTTAGCATTGGTTCTTCCTCAAGTCTTTGCTTCAGCAAAGCTCCAAGAGACAAACGTCCCAGTATCTTAAAACCACACAGACTTTTCCCCACATTTTTCCCTTTCTGAATTTGCTTCCAAAGGAGAAGGGATCTCCGTGGTTACCTTCTTTCAGGCCTGGAACTATTTCAAAAGACTGGAAAAGCAGAAAAAGATCGGCAAAAAGCTCACAAACCCTTTATGGCCCTTCTTAGGGAATGTACACTTCCCATGAAGACCTTCACCGCATCTTTCCTTCTTCAGAGCACACAACGCACATTTCATGCCCATCTGCTCTGGTCCTCCAGCGTCGAGGGGTGGGGGACAGGCATGGGAGGACTCAATATAACCAAAATGAAGTCAACAAGAAAAACCCTTTATTAAAAATTAACTACACAAGACTCCTAAATTTGAATTAAATCTTATAACCACAGTGTATTTTTGCAAATAGAGTAATTCTACACCAAAAGTGAGCATCTGTCCTGTGACTACTCTTATCTCTCAGCTAATACATCTGGTGCCAAGCTGGAAGAAGTGCTGTGCATTTACATCCTCAGTTCACAATCAACTGGAACACATAGGAACAGCAGTTTGGCAGTTTACGAAAGAGCTCTTGTGTGCTCAAAGTCAAATGGGTGAGCACTCAATTCCTACAAAGAGGCAGCCTAAGTTGTGCACATTACTACTTTCTTATCTTTCTCCTGGAACCCTTCACTTAGAAGAAAATTCCAGTTGAACCAAGATGTAGAATTTCAATGTCTTAAGTACTGAACAGAATCAACTAACTGAAATTACTGAAGCAGTATTTACCAGGATGTCCTCAGGGCTGAACCCCTGCTTAACATACTTGGTTAAAATGGAGTATTTCGCAGTCCTCAGCACCCTTATATCTGCATTCTTCCTTTGCTTAGGAAATCACTTTCCACCAGTTAGTAATTTTTGATCCACAGCACTTTAAAGATGTGTTATTAAACTGCAGTAAGACTCATGTGGAACCATGTGTTAGACTGATGCAATATTGAAAGAGCATGAGTAAAGTTCTTTTTGCTGCTGAACTTCTAAGAGCTTTGGGAGTAGCCTCCCTTAGTGGCAACGAGTCTTAAACCACAGCATATCATTAGAGTTTCACTTCTTAGGAAGAGTTATCTAGTGAGGTTTTTTGCAAACGTCAACCACAGAGATAATACTGCTAGCATGTCTTGAGATAGGGTTCCTGAAACACAGGGGAACACAAATTAAAAGGCTCTTCCAAACTCTGGGGGAAGTTTTGGTGATGCCTAATACACAGTTCAACACACATTCTTAGAACTTGAGACATGCAATTACAGACATGCTGCAATTCTGTACTAAGACTTGGCTTCCCACATGCTACCAACAGTAATTATCACCATTACTAGGAGCACTGAAACAGCAAGAACAGACTCTGAAGAGCCCATGATTACATTTGTGCAGGACTCAAAGAGCAAGTGCAAGAAACCAAATCGGAAAGGGACAGCCCTCAGGAAGATTTCAGTATAGCAACAGAATATTTGCTTTCAAAGATACGAAGCTGCTCATTTTAAGCCCTGCTTCAGCAGCCTTTTAAAAAGGATAGGTCTATCAGAACAGCTTACTTTGTTCTTTACCTCCAAGAGTTGCCCTAACACAACCGGCATTCCTCAAGATTTCCAAGATCCCTTAAAAGCCCAGTGGTCTAGTTACAGCTTTTAAAGGATACCGAGCTCAGGCCTGTGGTCCTGGCTACTCCTGCATTCACACTTCTGTGACAGAAAGACTGTGAAGTCTGATTTTGAATGTCTCCTGATGCTTTTCTTTTCAGCTGATGCAGCCGAAATCTTGGGCCAAGACCCCGTGCTGCTCAACAGACTTGTACAGTGGTGCAATGCTAATGACCACACTGGCGTCCGTGGAGAAGCAAATCGGCTGCTAGCATCGATCTTGCATCACAACAGATCCCAAGTATGAGAGCTATTGTCCTGATATGTTTCTACTTTATCCTTCTCAAATATTTTTAAAGCTTGTCAATATAGCTGAGGGTTAAGTGTTAAAACAGCACATACAGCTTTATCATTAAAAACATGAAAGTTCACAGTAAAACCCCCTCTAGTCTGCCTCAATACCAATAAGGGTGTGAGCAGGAAAGCAGTGCTCTCCGTAGCCACACATACTGCACAGAAATGAGCAACACAGCTATTTACTGTCATTTGTCAACTTTTACCCTGCTTGAGTAAGGCTTGACAAATAGTAAGTAAAGCATTTATATTTCCATAAATATTAGTTTCTAATTAAAATGGCAAAGATAACCCAGAGCTGTTCCAAACATCAGTCCTCCAGAAGCTCCAAAGAGCCCACTTATCTACCTAGTGATGGATGAATCTGGTGTGATCTGTATCTGCTGGCATATTAGAACAGGCTTCTGTTTCTTGTAAATTATGCTATTATACACAGGCATCCCAACCATGCTTTACTCTGAGGTAGTGATAAAAAAAAAGTAGATACTATCTGCACAGGCTTTGATAAAAGTAAAACTAATCTTTGCTAGTCTGAAGGTTTGAAATGAAAAATCAGAATAAGGTCAAACTAAAACTCGAGACAAAATATATGTATTTTTATCTTATAGATACGCATATACATAATTGTAAGTATTGATATTCCAAGTAAATTAGACCAGCCCTAAACAAACACATACGATCAGTGCCAAAAGCAATGTTATCTCTAATCTTCAAATATCAGTTTGCATTGCAGCAGGCAAATCATTTCCATCTATTCAGAGGCTGAAGAGTGCAACCTCATTTCTCTCTTCATTCCACTTTATTCATAAGTCAGATTTCTATCTGTGATATTTTACCTTTGCTTTAACAGGAAGTGGTCAAAGCCATCCAGGAGGCACAAGGAGTGAAGCATCTGGTTTCCATGACAACAAGCAAACATGCTGCCATGCAGAATGAGGCTCTGAATGCCTTGGCAATAGCATCTGCAATCGATTTAGGTATTTTTCTCCTAAAAGCATTTACCTGTGCAAGATCCTCAATTATTAAGAAACAGTGTCATGCTGTTAATTCTACATAACATGTACAAAAAAGCATGTTTCTTGTCTAGATTTAGCTCTTCAGCATGAAATAAAGTCAGCCATCCAAAAGATCACAAAAGCAACAGGCTTCAGGAACTGCCCAAAGATTTTTTTGTTTAGGGTGGTGTCAGATGATTAGGTTGTGTGAACTGGCATAATCTGTTGAGTAGCATGGTATGATGCTAGAAACTTGTATAAAAAAACAGAAGGAAAGTAAAGGTAATGAAGACTAAAGAAAAAGATGATAAAGTCTAAATGAAGATAAAATTAAGGAAAAATTATGGACTAGAATGGTCAATGAAGACTATAAATTGAGGAAATAATCTTCAGCAGATATTTGAATGCAGGCGAGAATAAAGTAGAAGCATAGACAAAAGGGCCTTGTAGAAGTTGCAAATTAAACAAGTGAGAAAACTGGTTCTAACTACTTTTACTGAGCTCATTTTCAGAGAGGTTGAGTATATTTTTTCCAGGTATTTCCTGTATGACTGATCACATTTGAAAATGAGACTCAATTTATTACAATAAAGACAGTCACCACAGAAATCTACATACATCAAGAGATAAACTGAAAAGTAATAGTCAACTTGAAATTTTGAATTTTGTATGCCAACAAGCAAGACAGTAAAGAGCCAATTCTACTGCTTGGTCCACCATTAAGGCTCTCAAACTCAACCGGGAAACTAACATGAATCAACATTCCTAGCACTGATCATTGCAAATTTTAATCTATGATGAAGTTATTTTATACAATCTATAGTATACATGTTCTGTCTTCCATAATGAGGCAAGTGAAGAAAATACAGAAATTTTCCAGTACAGAAAACAGATGCCCAAGACATCCCTGTATAGCCAATTTGAAATTAAGCCAGTCAGGATTTTATTTTTAAAAAGCAAGCATGTTCACTTTCTAGCTTCTTTTCAGGTACATCTCAGGTATTTGTTTACTTATTTTTCAGAAACGCTTGAAGAATCATTTAAGGAATCACAGCTAGTTCAAAGCTTACACAAACTTCTACAAGATGATAATACCAGTCCTGAGGTGATATATAATTCAATGGGTCTTTTGTGCAGTCTTCTTAATTCAGGTAACTTCATTTTAAGTTGTCTGTGATGAAAGAACAGATGTTTGTGATGAAAACACAAGTGTCTTCTGTTACTGAAATGTGCTGCTTGTAATGTTAGTCAGTGAGTAGTAAAGGATATTAAAGAGGTTCATTCTTTATTGATCACCAAAAATCCCAGTAAAGTAGCTTCTTTCTTTATGAAAAGTGGATTAAACCATCAGTTGAATGAAAAAAGGCTTTATTCCAGTGAGTCAGTGGCATAAAGTCCTGAACTAGCAAAATTAGAGCCCTGGAATAAAGGCATCTTTGTCCAAATTCACCATGCACAAATGTCTGACAATCCCAGGTCCTGTACGTACCACAGCATTTTTGTGTTCAAAAATAGTCTGTATCATCTTCCACAGGCAAGCATACATTTATTCTGCCTATGCTGTACGCAAACCAGAAGCTGAGAGAAAACAGCAATTTTAGCAATGCTGCCTTTGCACAGCAACTTTTAGTAAAACATGTGAAGGATATGATTTCAGTTTCTCTCACTCTGTGGTTAGGGAAGACTTAAAATACTTTGAGCAAGATCAGACTCATCCTGGATGTGTGGCACTAACTGAAAACCACCACCTTGAAACCAGGAGTCCAAAGATCTTGTGCCAGTTTCTCACATCTTCATACATAAATCATGTAAATTGAAAATAATGATTGTGCCCAGGCAAGATCTGCCACAAGGGGAGCTGCCTTTCAAATCGTGGAGTCACCCTATATTGGCAGCCAAGTTGGATTTTGCAGTAGAGTATTTTTTACCTGTAGCCACACAGTTATTGGAATAGGGATCAACATTTGCATCCTTCAGTGCTACTACAGAGTACTGACACAACAGATGTGACCTATAAGACTTTTTTCCAGAGGTGTATGTACTTAGCACTTTATAGATTAACTGTAACACTAAGGGTTGAGTCTTACTAATATGAAAGGCTAAAAAAAAGCTCACAGGCAAAATAATGCTAGAACTTGTCCTCTATTATACTTTCAACAAAGTACTTTTCTCCTATTCAATCAGTTCTTGGAAGTCAAACAGGAGAGAGAAAAAAAAAATCTTAACCTGTTCAATACTTTTCAATAGCTGAAATGGTATCTATTGAGAGAAATGTATTTAAATTAAAGCAGCTCATTTTAAACAGCCAATACTTCAAACTTTTATCTTACAACTGTCGGGAGCCACTATGCCATGGCATGTCACTAAAAGTCAGCATTTCATCTCTCATTCAGGTGATCTGAGACAAGAAATAGAAGAGAATAAGATTAAAGAAACCATCGAACAACTCTGTAGTCACAGCGATGCAAATGTGGTCAAGGAAGCTGTCACAACATTACAGGTTTTGAGAGGAGAGACACCCCACTAGCCTCCTTCTTCCCCATAGCAACCCTGCACTGCTGCTGAGGCAAATGCAATACAATGCCAGCTTTGCCAACATTGCCTTGCATTTGTCATGCTGCCGCATAACCAACACTACTAAGTCCAGGTACAGCTCCTGCTTTCAAAGCTGTACATACAAAAAAAAAATACTCATTTGCTCATCTATTTGGCCCACAGATACCTGCCTCACTGCTGCTCTTCACTGAGTTACTTAACAGCAGTAGGAATAAGGCCTGTCAAGCAAGTGGTCTTAGAAAACATCACATGAGAAGCATCAGGCAATTACCACTTCCGCAATACATTTTTAAGCTACTTGGTTTTGTCAAATCAGGATATCACTTGCAACTTTTTCTTGTATCAATAGGACTTTAAAATCATTATCAAAAAAATGTCAAGCTTATATCGTGCAACCTGAAACAATGGGCGTTTAGATTAGACGAGAGCTGTAGCTTAAACAATGCAAAGGGCTAATTGGCACCAATTCAACCTCTGCACATTGTGAATCGACCTGCGAGCCCACCTGTTAACTGAATATGTTAAAATCACGACAAAACTGTACCTTTAAACCAAATCCCTCTTCAATTTCCAATTCAAAAGCTCATCCCTGAGGTTTTACCTGCTAGTGTCACAAGCTGTATTCCTAACTATCTGAGGTCACACTCATCCTAATTTCAGAGTTGCAGCTACTGTAACCTGGAATGAGACTCAGTAGTTCACAAGAAACTACAGTCAATGTCCATACAGTGGTTGGACAAGATACAAATTAAAGCTAGTTAGAAATTACAAGTGGTCATGTGTGAAGATTTTAAGACAGCTGGCATTTCATTAAATTATCTCCAGTAGGAGAACCTCGGTTTAACTTTAGTTTATGAAAAACTGTAGTAAAACAAATGTCTCTGAACATTTCTACAGAAACCTGTCATATTTTAAAATGGTCACTTGATTAAAAAAAAGGTAACAGGATCTATTGCACAACTTGTTCTTATGGAGCTTTTTGAAGCAGTTGCGAGTATGTTGCAGAGGCACATTGCCAAGACCTAGGAGATCAAATTCAAAATGCTGTAGCAGTAGATACTGAAGAGCTAGAGAACAATGGTGGGGTTATTTTAGCCAGCAGTAGAAGCTATTGAGAAAAAAACCCCAGAAGAGTACTGACCTTTAAAAAGTTGTTATAAACCAGGTAATGTTTAAAAGTCAACAAGGCCTCCTGTTGTCAAACAATTCAAGTATAACTGTCTTGCATCTGTGAACAAACATTACAGCTTTGTTCCTGCAAAAGCTTTCCCACTTGCAAAACTTGTTAACACTATTTAGCCCACTACATTCACCACCAAATATCACTTTCAGGAGTACTCTTGAGAAAGGGAATTTCATAAAACCACCCCAGACAAGTTGCTTGGCAACACACAAGCAGGTTTTGACCACGTAGTAGGAGAAAAGATAAACAAGAGCTGAACCATGTGCAGTTTCCTCTAGCTTAAAGCACACAGTGATATGAGCATCCTATACATTTCCAATGTCAAAATGAGAAATAGCTTCAGACTCGCAACTTCAGAGTAAGATCTGCCTAAACCAGGCATTAGTATGAGATATATCAGGATCTATTACAAGTTCTATATATACACACATCAAATAGCCACATTGAAGTTAAGTCATTCTTATTAGAAGTGATCCAACCTTAATATTCTAGAGTGTCTAATTTCCAGATACTGTGTTATTCTAATATAGTCACTACCTATTGGCTAGATGTTTCTCTGACCTTATTAAAACTAAAATTAGGTTTTAATGCATTAAAGAAACACTGAAATGGTCAAAAAAGCATACACAAACCTATTTCTGCAAGCCTCATCTTCAAACCTGGAAGTTACTTCACTTCTGCACTCTTAATAGTTTCAGGAACATTGCTCAGACATGACAAACCATAGACTGTGCAAATCACAGTAGCGATAACTGTGGATAATGGCAAAGTGCAAACAGCAGTTAGAGATTTAATTTCTCTACACCATTCTACAGCTCTTCACTTGTTCATGGCTTTGCATTAACAATAGAGAGAAAAGCACCAGTGTTACCTATTATTCAGCAGCCCAGACTGAAAAAAAAAAAAAATCAGGAGAGTTTCAGCAAAATATACACACAAACACCAGCTGGCTTTTACCATTTCTGTAGTTATTCACAAACTGCAGTCTCAGTAGCTGTCTAAACCTTAGAGAGGGAAATACTAGTGACTGGAAGCAAAAAAAATCTTAGAAATCAAACTCCAGGAGTACAAAACATTAAATTTTATTTAATCAAATTTAAGGCTTGAGGAAAAAAAATATACTGAAAGTCACTCAGAAAAACCACCTCAGAAGAAGAGACAGAACCTCCCCTTCCAGTGGCTAAACAACATTCAAGCTGCCTGATAACCCACAGGCAGTAGGAAGAAGGAAGAAGAAAGGATGGAATGGGAAGACAAAAAAAACCCAAGGCAATTCTACATATAAGCCAATTGGCACATCAGCCTCAATGGACTGGAGGTACAAGTCTATCCACATGGCACTGTATGAGGGTCACCAAACTAAAGACCCTTCAGGAAGAAATATTCAGGTTTTCAGGAGGCAACCGAAGCTCCTTTTGTCACTGCACTTTTTTCAGTACTTATATTCATCCTCCTCTTCACATGCAGGGAAACTGTGTCCAAATGCAGGTATAATAATAGAAACAAAAGGGCAGCTGCACTGTCAAACATACAGGCAAATAAATACATTGCTTCACAGAAATAAATTGTGCCCATTTCTGAGAAATAAAAGTGATCAGACTGAAAAGTTTCCTTCTCTCAGTCTAGTTATTCAAGTCTGATCTCATATTTGACATCTTCATTAAAAACCTTGTCTCCATTGTAGTGTTTGTGGAGTTGTTCCAAATCCAACCACTGAAATCTCAACATCAACAATTTATAAAGCCTCTCTTGTTGTGAGATCATTGAATTGCTTCTCCTTCAAGGCTTTAGAGGCAGGCTCACACCTAACTGCTTTTGATGACAAGACTTTTTAAACCATAACCTATATGTTTAGCCATGAAGTCGCTGCAGGTCCACAGAAAAGGTGCTAAATATAACTAAGTAGAAAGTGGTAAGAAAGTATTCCCATTCCAAGTCTGAAATTACACTAGCCATGCATACCACCAATAGGGGTGCACTTCAAAATGTCTAGGGGTAAACCAGCCTAGAGCCCCAGAGTTTTAAAAGTGATACTGAATAAGTACAGAGAAGTTTATCCACAGTGAAAACAAATCAATCCATGAATTTAAAGATCCTCAAATAGGTTGAATTTGATGTCTTGAATTCAGTTCCAAATAACTGGAGCATTGATACAAAGCTGGTGTTAAAAAGGCCAAAGCCAATCAGAATAAACCGTGGAAAGACAACACTTCAATTAAATTCTATTTTACATACAAACAGTAGTTCAAAAAGAAACCAAGTATTCATTTGTCTTCAGGTAACTTGGCAAGATTTGCAGACACTGGAATCCTGCTCCATGACACTGGCTCTTGTCAGCAGCTAGTTTCAGTGCACGAACTCCACAGATATCTTTGATACCATGATGACTTTCACCAACTGCTGAAATTACTTCGCAGCATTAGGAGCTTTCTGTGTCAAAAAGCTGCAAAGGGAAACATACTCCCTAGATACAATTCTCAATGCAATGTTTTATGAATAAAAAGTTACAAGTAGAAAGCATCCTTCTCCAATTTTTCATACATCAGATTATTACACATAACCTTAACAGAGTAAGTTGGTTGATGAGGCATTGTAAAGTTTCAAGCACCAGAGTTTAAAGCAAATGTTGCTGGACACTGCTTTGCTGCTTGCAAAACAGCAGTAACAGCAGTAAATTTTTGGCTGCTCCTAATGGACTAGAGTCAACAAATAAGTAATACAGACCTCAGATTCAAGGGTCTACAGAAGAAATGCCTCTTTCTCTCCCCTCAATGGTCTACTGCTATTGTTTTCTTTGCTGTATATCAAAGCTAAAAAAATAAAAAAATTTAAAAAAAAAAATCACAGTGCACTTCTAGCAATTTTACTTTCAGGTTTTCAGATGAGTAATAGCAGACTGTTCTCTGCTCCTGTAAGGAAGTCAGCCATCCTTAGACAAGCTTCCTTTTCCTGTAGTGTCTCAATCACTGGCCAGAAAAAGAACTATGAAAGCTGAAGTGAAGTACACATGAGAAGTACATCATTGTCTGTGAAGTGCTTCACAGATTAAAAGCTAGAAGGATGTCTGGACAATCAATAGAGATACAAAGATTCTTACTGTTGATCAGCTTTTGCCAGTGAAATGTTCGTTAATACATGCACAATAGAAAAAAAGGACATTAGAGAGATTTAAGTTTGGCTTCCTAAGAAAGCCATATACTTTGGAAATACAAGTATTAAATCCTTCAGGCAGACTACATGTAGTAAAATATCATTATAAAAATATATACTTTTCTAAAATTTACACTATGTTAGGCACTGTAAATAAACCTGCTCTCCCTGAAAAAACTGGTGTCACTGGAAGCAGTAAACAATGTTAGTTATATGGCCCACAGTAAAACTGACAGCTACAGCTACTTCCAAGAAGTTCAGTCACATACTTCTGTCTTAAAGCTAAAAATACTATGCCAAAGTCTTTTAGAGAAGACTGGAACTCTTACTGAACTACAGATCCATTTACTGAACCCCAGGAGGGGAAGACAGGAAGAAGAGAGTTTAGTTTTCTTCTGATAAAAATAAAATTAATTCAGCAGGAGTAGTTCTGTTTGATGCAGAAAATTGCTGTGAAGAAATCATTCTGGTTCACCATATTGTGACTGGCATTTGAACCACGTATCAGAATACAAGCAGAACTGATGATTCAACAGCTTTACAGAAGATTTAAAAATTCAACAACTTGAATCTTTCATTAGATGTGTATTTCCTCATTAAAAAAACAGATTTCAGTAGGCATCAATACTGAATTTAAATGTTTTTCATCAGTCCTGATATTAGCAGTTGGGACTTGTGAAGTTCAATATAGCAGTTGAGAGAGAAACTGGAGGAAAGGCAAAAACCATCAACAGCTAACATAGTATGCTTGCTACCTACTTAAACAAGCTGTATTTTGAAATTTCTGCAGACAGCACTTTTTAAAGATATTACTGATAATAAAAAGCTAAGCATTTTTAAAGAGTTTTTTCTTCTATAAATAAAGAATATTTACATTTTTTTCAGACAGGAAACAGCATCAGGGATTCACACTCCCTTGCCCGAAATGGAGATTTCTAACATATAATGCTACAGATAGTCAGACTTTTCCCCTCTTGAGAAAAGGCTTGCATTTTGAAACATGGGTTACTCAAGCTCTGATGCTGAGCACAAGTTCCTGCTCCCGAGACATCTACATTATTCCCAGTCAAACAAATATCCCTACTTCTGCACAACTGAAAATCAATTAAAGAACTAGACAATTTATGACTTTTTCCCAATTTCCAATACCATGACGATTATGGTTGCTGGGTATTTTGCCAAAAAATGACTGCACACGTCTACTGTAGAGATTAAAAACATTTCAAGATTCTGAAGCAATCAGCACGCCTTCTGAAAAGATTACATTTTGAGACTGGTGACAGTTGGGAGTGAAAATAGAACAGTCTTCACAGTAATCCTTCAAGGAAAGTTTACAGCAGTTTCATCTCTCCTTGCTACGATCTTTAAAATCTGTTCTGCTGTCTTGGGAAATCCCATTTCTTCCTCAGAGATCAATGCTGGTGCACCGAGTTGTCTTGTTAGAAAAAAGGTAGACAGGTGTGTGTTCGGAGGGTTTGGTTTTTTTTTTGTACCAGCTTCTAACAAAAAGCATGAGCAGGGTAAAATCCACATAAGGCTTTTAATAACAGGAGTATTTCATAGTCTGTTCATTTCTTCCACCTTCACGTCCAACCAATAACCGTAAAACATACTTTTTTGCAACACGTCTGCTTTTATATTCAGAAGGCATTACCTGCCTTTACAGCTTCAATATCAGAAATCAATGTCCTGGCTAGGAAAATCCCAAAAATCTAAAAAGACAAAAACACAAACGATTTGTGAGATGAAAAGCTTGTAATGTACTAGTCTGCAAGATGTTTCTAAAAATTAGAGCCTATTATGATGAGTTATTATTGCAGAATGGGAACCTACTTCTTCTGTGTCCCTATTACACTGTACTGATGTCAGTGCAACTACTCGTGAATAAAGACACGCATTCATAAAGTGTTTGCATGTTCACGTACCATTCCATAGCCAGGATCATCCATCAAAGCATGGCTATTACTAAAAAGTAATAAAGGCAGCAGAATCTTGCAAGAAATAAAACTCATGAGAAAAAGATGTTTTCATGTAACACTTCAGAAGCATTCAAAATAATAAGCTTCTAGATGCCCTAGAGCTGGAAGAAATCCACTTAGCCACGTTTGAGTCTTATAACACTCACCCTTACCTATTGCTAAAGTTACAAATCAGGCATTTTCATTCATTCCACAACTTTGGATAATCCAGCCAATTTTCTCATCAATTTTTTAAAATACACATAGAATGTACAATTACCTGTACTAAAATGAAATTCTTGTCACAAACAGTGGTGAGAAAAGTCCCAGACTATTCCAAGACATTTAAATTTGAAATTTTAACATTTACTCAAGTTCTCAGGGAAATCTTCCCTTGCAAACTGAAGATAAATTCATAACTCAGCACATTTCCTGAAACATTCTTAGGAAAAAAACCAGAAGACTGGGGTGAAGTTTTGGAAAAGCTGAAAGATTTGTTTTAGAAGTAGTCAGATTATGTCTAACTCTGTCCCACCATGAAATAGTTTAATGCACAAGACTGACACAATTTGAAAAAACAAGTGACTCTGAAAGTGGTTTCACAGATACTCAAGACATGAATAAGAACAAAAACATCAAGTTATTGTCGGTCAACACACTGCCAAAAGATTAGACTTCCTATCTTGAACATCCTCCTAACTGAAGGTGTTGTCCTCAGGGACAGCATCTCTCAAAGCCACGGAAGCACTATCATTAGATGGTGATAAAATATCAAAACCCAAGCAACATAGGGCAGTCTTGCCATGGCTGGGAAAAGGTATTTTGCCAGCACTCTATGCTCAACTATTTTTCAGTTAAATGGTAGTAGATTTAAAAGTCTGTTATTTCCCACTGAAGTGAAGCAGTACCATAGTGAAGAAATTTAGGTAAGTGTAAACAACTGCCACAGTGAAAGTAGGATCCACCTCGAAAGAAGTAATCTGATATGTTTTCCTGAGAATTTGGGTTCTTTTTCTTTGATGTACAAAGTACTGACAAAGTACCGGAAGAAGTCACACCAACTCCTTCACCTGTTTCTGCTAATATCACATTCGCAACCTGTTCACCAATTTCCCTGCTCTTCCGTTCTCAACTTTTTTTGAGCAGTATGCTACATGTCACTTACAGCCAGCTGAGCGATAATCTTAACATGAGGACAGAATTGTATTTTAGTCATTTCACATTTGTGATAGAAGGCTGTAGTTTAGATCTACTGGAGTAGATGACCAGAAGATCTCCCCGCCCTCACAGCACATTGAAATGTAAGAAATATTATTGTATCACATTATTTTATATAATAATAATATATGTAACAATATATATCACAATCATCATATACTGTATGTATTATAATTCTAGTGTATTTTTATAATGACCTTCATGGCTTTGAGGAACAATTTCAAGAGAATTAAATTAGTTGATACCAGATATTTTCATTCTAAGTCTTCATCCCCATATTTTTTTTCCCCTATTATTCTCATACCTGAAAAAATCCAGTGTCAAAATATTTACCTCTCTCTATAACTACTTGTACCTTCAGCAGGTCTATATCTGCAAACTTGAAACTTTATTTGAAGTAGCATAACAAAAACAGCTAACCTGGAGCAGTGAGATAGCTATGAAGACACCTGCAACAATGTAGATATTTCGGGGTAACCAAGCTTCCAGAGCAAGAATACATCCTTTGACAAAAATCTGATCATCCCATTGACTCTTGCTCTGAAAGTGGAGAGGAAGAATAAGAGTATTACTTTTCTGCTCAAGTTTATTTTAAGATCAGTCAACCACATGGTATAGCTAAATTAATGATTTGTCACTTATGCAGTAATGTTTTTAACCAGATTCCAGAAATAACATATATGCCCAGATTAAATCAGGGAACATCAGACACCGATGTTAGTATCTTCCTGCAAATCCTGTTACTACAATACATTAGAATTAGCAGATAATAGGATTCAGAGTTAGACTATTATAACTAATAATTGACATGCACACTTGAAATGCAAGTCCTACCCCTTTTTGAAACACACCTTTCCCTTTCCCTGTTCCATCACTTGTTTCCTCCACCCTCCCACAGTACAAGTTTACTTTAAACAAAGGAAAATCTCTACCACTCTCTACTTGTAGTATGACTTAGCACAGCTGATTAGTTCCCAGAATTTTAACCTGACATATCTATGAGCATTTCCACTGTTTTTATAGTTTTGCCTATGCAAGCACAGATTATGACAGACAGCAAGATCCCAGCACCTTACCTTCTTTCTGACATCATAGCCACACTGTGTATTCACAACTTTTTGCTGCAAAGCAAAAAAGATTTAAAATAAATCAATTGAATTCTACTCACTTCTGTTCACAGGAAGTTTTTCTGGTTTTTAGATCAGACAAACAAATCAGGATTGTCAGAACCAGCCATTTTAAGAAGCATTTTTAGTGAAAATGAGCAAAGCACTAGCAGAACACAAGAAAAGTAATGACAAAGCAGAGGTGTATACTACCAGGAAAACATCCTCCCTGAGAAATCCCAGCTTCTTCTATCACTTGGCTTTGAACTAGGAAGGACTTTTTAACATGAAGCACAGCAACTGTACTGCCAGCATACCAATAAGACATCTGGATTTCATGATAGCTATTTCACATAACACTGATGTAACAAGAAAGGTACCAGGGTGATTTATTTACACCTGCAGTGGAGAAATATGCCTTAAAACTCCATCATTTCAAGTGGTATACAACTTGCTATCCCAATCAGTTAAAAGAAGTAGCTGCAAGCTACTTGAGACCCCTCAGTTGATAGTTCAAAGTCTCACACATAACACAGCTCCAAGATACACCTAGTCGTGAATACAAAACACTCCAGCTGCAGGTCCCAAGTAGGAGGATGATAAATACCTTCCAGATCACAACCCCACACAACCCAATGAAAGTATTTATCTCGAAAGATGCAAAGACATTCCTTTTAAGACATTTTTTGTTTTCTCTGTATAAGACTTATGAAAACAGATGTATTACACAATTATAGCATAATTGACACAATGCATAGTGTTATAAATTGAAATATTAGGAACAGAATCTCATATCAAAAAGATTTAAACATACTTATGCCTCCTTAAATGCAGCAACAGAAAGAGTTGCAGTGGAATAGTACTGCTCCAAATTGAAATAGAAAATAATTACTGCGGAATCTGAACATGGAATATTTCCCTGACAGTCTTTCCTTGGCTGATTTTCAAGACAAAAGTATAACCTGCTAATGGCTATCTGCTCTGCACAAGGATTGCTGGACTGACTTTGAGCTGTAACTACTCCGACTAATGCTATGAAAAATTATATGTTAGTTCCTACCTCCACATTTTCACTTCCACTGAAAGGGTCAGATTCCTCAAGTTTAGTAAACAGATCTAACCAATAAGCACCTAAATCTTGCCAAAACCAAAGAACTGATTCAAATGCTTTAAACTGAGTTTGTACATGAGCACTTTACTAGTTGCTGATAAACAATCAGCAAATGGAGTTACTCCTACTTGTCTGGTGGAGGGGTGGTGCAACATTAATTCTAACTGGGACAAACACACAGCTTAGACAGTGCTCTCGGGTCCTTACAAGCTAGATAACAGATGCCAGAAATTCAAGGAAACGGTGTACTGGGAATAAAAAAAAAAATCATCAGGCACCAATACTTGCGGACTCAAGCCATACAAAAATAGCTTGAATTCCTGGTGACAATACATTTTCAGCTGTATAACAGGTTGCCACATTTGGAATCTTAAAAAGGATGGAACAGAAACATGAAAAGAGTTTATCTGCACAAGAGTAATTTTTTGATCATTTAGAATACCTTTTAAAGTCCTAGTCATCACACCTCATTCAGGAAGTACTTCCTTTCATACCTCTCCAACAACATCAGAGCAATACAAAGCCAGGAAACAACTTACAGCAGGATCAGGTATACAACAGGAAAAAGGAACACCGCACTTCTCACGACTTTTGCTTTCACTGCTGCAGTTAAAGTATATGTTAAAGTCCCAGTCATCTGGACCTTGGGCACCACAGCAATGGTTCTACAACAGATAAACAAACAGTTAGCATTTAGGGGTATTTTAGAGACAATTTATCCACTGAATTTACTTTCTGGAATAACATTTGTTCATCATCTTCACTTTCTCTAAGGCTGTGCAGAATCAATGGCAACATCAGAGTAAAAAAAAAATGAGTAATCAATACCATGGCTCTATGAAATCAAAGCAATACATTCGGCATACTGCTCCTGGAAATAGGTGTCAGTGTGACAAGCAAAATCATAAAAATTATCACTTTAGATGCAATTGCTAGATGCAATCAGTGCATATCCATAAATGGTGCAACAAAATAGTTTATACAAATGCTTTGTACCCTGTTATTTCCAAAACTAGAAAAACTATGATAAATTTGTGACTTCATCCTTAAATCTTCATGAATCAACAAGTTTTCTTCTCCTTGTTTACAGTAAAAAGTGGATCCAAACATTTGTGACTCTACTTCCTTTGTTTTAAATAAGAAGGTTTCCATACCCAAACTGGTAAAGTCTCACTAGCTCAAAGATCACTCAACTCTAGAAGTATTTCACAGAAGTGTCTTCACCTGAACAGTGTAATGTAATTACCATAATTGCAGGTTTGTGAAAACCCAACATTTCAAACAATGTTCAATTCCTGGAAGTAATGAAAGCTAGTTTCTTATTAATTTATGTTTTGCAGTTTACTGGCCTGGATATTTAAGGGCACATATCTCTCTCTGTAATTTAGTACTTGAAATGCTATACCATCACACAGATTTTCCTGGTACCTCATGAAGTTCCATCCTCTTGGGATATCTCTAACATCTCTCCTCTGCCCACTGCCCATCTTCACAAAACTTGTATTAACCTAACTACTGTCTGCAAGACCACTGAAACTCAAAGTCAGTAAATGGATTCAGAAGTTATCAAGTTGTGACAGACACTGATGTGAACAGAGCAGAATTGTTTACAATACAGTTTTCACAGAAAATATGACTAAAGAGCTGAACAGAATAGTCAGAATAGAAAAAACACCAAGAAAAAATTATTTTAGGTCACCAATACATTTACCATGAAGAAAGCAAGAGAACCTCTTATTTGTCTTTCTAGTCCTTTCTCCCTCACACTTCTACAGCTTTGCAAAAAGCCATACAACCACTAAACATGCTAATCTACCTTAGTAAGGTAGAGACTATAAGGTCACTTACAGGCCTGAAAGTAACATAATTAGCCAGAGCAAGGAGCTGCCTACAAAAAGCTATCTGGGTCCCAAGGCACACACTGAGAACAGAGCAAGTCAGCATAAGGAGCATGGCTCCTTAGAAGATGGGCTTCAGAAAGGCATTTGAACACGGTGCTGCACCTTGTTGTTCAACCCTTGAAAAACTACACTTGCTAATCCAGATTGTATCCACTTCCCCTCCTTCCACAGTATTTTCAGGTATGGATCAATGACAGGCTGCTTCAGAGATTTTTCTGGTCTTTCCTTTTTCATGTTTATTAACTTGTTAATCTGGCTAGTGAAGTCCTTTTAGTAAGCTCAGCCTTTTCTTTTCATTGAAAAATATTTAACTGGAGTTCAACTGTAAATCAGCTTAGTGTATTAACCAGGCTGACTGCACTGAAACTAGATAAACAGAAAGAACAACAACAGAGTGGACAACACTGAGACAATTACTGGTGTTGGTCATGGCCAGCAGTCATCCTACCTTACAAAAAAGGTACCCTTAGCACCAAAAGCTAAAGCAAAACAGCACTGAAATCCATCCAGGCAGCTTAGTCAGAGGATGCTTCCATACCAATGCACACAAGAGTGAATGAAAATAATGGGATGGGTAAGCTGCTGGTAATACACAGCTGACCAAACTGGTATCCACTCTAAAACGTCGTTTGCTATCACACTGAGCTGTAAGCACAGATTTCTAAACATGATCTTCTAAAAGATGGAAGACAGACAAAACGAACCTTCTTTCATATAGGGAGGGATGGGGGAGGGGGAATAAAGGAGACAACCATTTTACCTCTTCATGAAGTACTCAAATACATACTCTGTTTCTCTCCATATATATATTTTTTTTTAACCACACACAAATAAGTAAAAATCAGAAAAGTCACCCTCACTGGTTGTTTCCTGGGCATGATTACAAAAGCAGCTGATTGAATGAAAGTCACCAGGCCCTTACTAGCATAGGTCTCGTCATCTCCCGGTGTACATCACTGTCTTCTGGTAACTGAAGATTTTAGGACCACAGGAGCGTAAAATTGTTTCAACCTTCCTTGACAACTGCCTGCTTAGAGACTAGCCTTTCCCAGTTAATAAAAACCCTCATTTGCTTCAAGATGAGGTGCATCTCAGAAGACCAAAGGCCCTGTGCTGCATCCCTGTACAAGACTGGAGCACCTCCTAATATAAGAGTGCAGACTAGCAGTTGCATTGCACAATTTTTTCAAGATAAAAAGTTTTTTTGTTGCTCACTTCTCACTTAAACTGGTGCAACACTGATCAGAACAGGGGAACAAGTCAAGAGGATCAAAAGACAGATGGATGCTTGGCAGAGCTTCCACATTCACAGTTAGAACAGCACTGTATCTCAGAATATCTTGCCTCCCTGATGCTTTCAATGCAGAAAGAACAAAACAGCACATCTGTAACATGGCACTATTAGCTACAGAATATGATAAATCTGTAACAAAAAGGAAAACTTCCAAATCTACATATTCTCCTAGAACACATGAAAGAAGTGACAGGATATGAACTTACAATTTTTTGTAGCGAATCAATGAGGTTCTGGAGGTCAATATCGTCTCGGTAGGATTTAATGTTATTCTCAAAGAATTCCTTGACCCTGTCCCTCACCCAGTCCTGGAACAGAAAAGCCAGAACTGCCACTGCCAGCTCCAGCAGGAATATAAACACAATTGCTCCACAGAACTGTAAAAAATAATAATAAAAAAAGTCCCAAATTAGAAAATATCCATTCACTTTGAATGCATCCCTACTCTAACTCCACCAGAAGCAGACACAGAGAATTAGCTTAAAATTATCATTCAGTACAGATACCGTGAGAACACAGCCTGTTAAATGAGAATACAATGTAAAGAAACCCCAAGAGATAGAGTTATCTTTTTGTTTTGGTCACCTGAACTTGACAGTAAAATCAGCACCATACCACAGTCATTACACACAGCAGTGAAAATATTAATAAATCTGAATCTGCAAAACACAGGGCTAAAGTAGTCTTGATGTTACTTCTTGAATTGTTTCCAGTTTTATAATTCTTTTGTCCAGCTTAACTGTTTACAGATCTAAAGCAAAGAAGAAGCCTCAGTATAAAAGCAACTGTTTAACAGATTTCACATCAGTCTCTGAAGTCCCAAAGTTTTGTCCACCAAACATTTAGAAGAAGTTTTTAAGGAATTTTGTTCTCCCTAAGCCACTACACCATCTCCTCTCAGTAATTCCTATCTGACTAAATATGTTCCAAAACATCTTGTTTTGTGATATTACATACACAATGTTAGATTCTGGTATACATTCTAGAAAATCACTGTATAGCAGAATAAGGGAAGAAACGTTTTCCAGGAAGGGGAAAAATATACATAGGTTTGAGCCTACACTGCTTTTAATACCTTTACTCAGTCAGGGGAGTAAGTTTACCATATACATTGTAACAAACCAAATTCTATAAACTAATTATCTGGGTTTGCTACTAGTTCTTCACCCATCATTCCCAGCTTTCAAATGCATAATAATCCACTCATATAATGATGTTACTTACAAACTTCAGAAGGCAGATGTTTTCTCTCAGTGCTCCTACACAACCAGCAAATCCCAAAGTAAACATCACTATTCCCACCACTAAGACAAGCACCACTGGGTCCAGACCATGAAGACCAGTCACCTTCGTCAGATCAGACAATACACCCTGAAAGAGAAAAACAGGATAACAGAAAAAGGTGACAACTATAAGCATGTTTTTCATTTAAAATTCCTTCTGGATGTCCATGATTCCACATGATGCCAAATGAATTGGTTACAAACCCCTGAGTTTGCCAACAGCAACCCACATGGAAAAGTCTTGCTGTAAAATGGTTACTGACAATACCAATTTTCTTCACCCAAATGCAAAGGCATAGCTATTCATTCTTTTAATAAGTAAAATCCAATGCAGTCAACTTCTCGGATTACATTCTCGTAGGTCTATTTGCCAAACAAGCTTCCACAAGATGGTGCCAAAAGCTCAATACTATCACTGACTATTCACTTAGTTTCAAGGAAGAGACTTTTAACGACAAAGCAGGTTGGGGTGACATTTTAAGGGAGGGGAACAAAATCTTGCTTTGGTTTTCAAGGGAAGCAGATTTTTCCTCTCAACATTTTAGTTGTACCCCTCCTAGTGCTGAATAGTCTTACAAATGCTCCTCCAAAATCTTGTAAAAATACAGAAGTATAGTCTAAATATTCTCCTTTCAGCCCAGATAAAATTCTTACACCAAAGGAAGTTAATTATTCCACACAAGATACTTCCAATTTGCCTAATTTAGCAGCAATACTTTCTTTTTTGTTAACCATCCAGAGGTACAACTTACCTTGACAATAATCTTACCTATTAAGCCTGTCTGCCTAGATCTTAGGAGAGAATTTCTAAGTCTATGTAAATGTAATGCTAACACAGTGAAGTCCTTATCATTTCTAGATTAGGTTTTAAAGAAATCAAGTTTATGTACCTGCTACCATTAAAATTCCATCAAGTACATGTAACACAAGCTTCTCATGTAATGCATAAGAAAAAGATGCAACGTGCATAAGACAGAAAGGACCAACAGCTGAAACTCTTAAAGTTAGCAAGACCAATTTGTAGGGACATCCAGGCAGCCTTGCGATAGTCTGAGTGTTCATCAAACACTCACCAGCAATACACAGAACATTTTAATAAGGAAATATTTTCGATTTGAAACAGAGAAAAATCAACACAGTACAATATCCCATAATTACATGTTTACTATATCTTGGTTTTTTCTTTATAAAGTATATTCTCAAGCTAACTACATTTAGTGTAAGAGAAACATATCAGAGAGACTCGTAAAGTAATTCATATAAGGAGTCTAATTCTGTCACAGGAATGTAAATTCTCATCTTGCTACTCAAGTGTTTGTGCTAGAGTTAAGTACAAAGAATATACATCCTAAGAGGACACCTTGGAAAAATCGGTATCACTTCGTATTTAAATGCTTACTTAACAAAAATATCTTCAAAATACAAAATTAGAAGAAAATGTGCACATGAAAAAACTTCATCAGCTGCTGAAAAGACACTGATTAACAATACTATAGTGATACACAGGAGTTCATCATCTTTCATGTGTTCCATAACAGATCTTTTTAGAGCTGTTAATTTGGCAACAGCAATAGAGTTGTTTTTGCCAAAACTGGTTGAAGGGATGAAAAGAAAAAAAATAATTGAAATGTAGAACTCGGAATTGCCTTGCAATAGCTGGTGACTAACAGTTGAAACAGCCTATTAAAAAGTGGTCACAGTTCATAGATTTCCAAGCTTTCAGAAAGTCTTGGGAAGCAAAGACTTTTCTAGTTTAGTGTCACCAGTGACGCATTTCCATTCTTACAAACTGTAAGACCTCATATCTATCAAATTTGGTCTACTGGGTTAATTATGAGAGTCCCACCTAATCAAACCTTGGCTCAGACCCCACAATCAAGGAAGACATGCCAAGATCAGCTAGGCTAATTCAGTGTCTTTATAGAAGCAATACACTATGAAACCAAACACTGTGTGACCAGGATGTTGAAACTTTCACAACTATTTCCAGCCATCTCCTTCCCACACCCTAACTCAAGCTTTTTTTCAGACAATCTCACTTGCTCAAGCAACATCTTTTGGAAGAAAACGTCCTCTGATCAAAGCATGTTATGAAGAAAAGTTGGCAGGAATTGGGTTCTATTATTCACCCTCAGATGTTGCTGGTTCACAACAGTTTCTTCACATTCACATTTGATGTTTACAGTGTTCTCTTTTGATAAGAAGGTTGTAGGGGTTTTTTTGCCTAACAAAAGGTGTTAAGTGAAAAATCCTGAAGGAAGGATGCAAACAAGCATTAATTCAGGGGACTACCTCATTCTACCTTACTCATCTCTCTAAGGATTCTTCTGCTTGTACCATCTGCAGGATGGTAGTAAAAGCTCTTTGAAGCACAGGCTGCCCTTTACAAGAGCACCTAGATTCTCTACAGGTATACAGAAATGAAGTCCGATACCTGAAGTCAGTGTCACAAAATCCAAGAATAAAACTCAGCCTTTAAGTTTTTCTTTCAGTCACTTAGAACAGTGAATTAAGAGTTCAACTGTACATGCTTAACTTGTTTTCCACTTTCTTTTAATGTTTGTAAGCATTATGTCACCATCTCAACTGAAGTGTTGGCAGAGGGCAAACATGGATTGTCTTTAAAAAAATCTCTAATACCACCCATTAACAAGTGCCAAACCAGTTACTGTTTTGAGATGCACTACTATGGAAACTACAAAATACATGTGACAAGGACAGAGTTGATTTCTTACAATCAAGTTCTGTAAACTGGATGTTGATTGTCACAATATCACACTGCCACTGATTATAACACAAGTTATATGCACATACCTTTAGACAGTTTACATACCTCTGTGTACACACACAAACAAATATCAGCAGACTAAGGAATAAGTACACTTAATCATAGAATAAGTTAAAGTTGGAAAAGACCTGTCTGACAGAGTGAGCCCCAAACTGGACATGGTACTCCAGATACAGCCTCAAGTGTGATGAATATTGTTGGAAGAAGCTCCTCCCCTCAACCACTGGCCACATTGGTGCTAATATAGCCCAGTATGCTGTTGGCCTTGACATGAGGGCACACCTGAAACTCAACTTACTGATCAACAGGTGCCTAAGGTTTTACCTCACAAACCTGCTTTCTAGCCATTCAACCCCAAGCCCATATTGATGCATGGGGTTACTCCATCTCATGCACAGGATTTTGCCTTTGCCTTTTTTTTTTTTAAATAAACTTTCATAACATTCCTGTCAACCCATTTCTCCATGCTCTTGAAGTCCCTCTAAGTAACAGTCCTGCTTTGAAGTATACTGCTCCCTCTCCGTTTGTGATTAGCCATGAACTTGCTAGAATGAAGTTAGGCTGACTAGCCTCTAGTTTCCCAGATCTTCTTTTGTGTCCTTCTTGAAATGGTTTTACCAATAAAAACTGCCTTCCTGATGAGAGGGCTTAGTGTTATTCACCTTGCTTCTATTAACAGTTTATTACAATTCACTTTCTCTTAGTGATTTCTGCAATATCTCTTGGGTGACAGATATTAACATCTATCCATTTTTTATTGTATAGACTTTTAAAATTTTATGCAATTTAACTTTTACATGACTGTTCAGCATAACAAAACCCACTTAAAAGATCTAAGTATAGGCCAATTAGACATGCCAGTTAAAGACTGGATTTGACTCAAAAAGGTAACACAAATCAGGATGGGTATCATTTTTACATATAGTATTTTCAACATTTCTCACAAATCAACATTCTCATTTCGATATATTATCAGCTAGAAGATGCACAGAATTTATATCCAGGAAAAAAAAACACTGCTTAGGAATCAATCTGAAGTGTAGTCCTAGTAGAAAAAGACAAGAAAAAACAAAGAACTTAAAGGGACCCAATGTACTTCACATTGCACTTAGAGAGGATGTTCAAAACTCTTCCACCACCTGTACTTTATCTTTGGGTTTACCACTGCAGCACAGTTTCTGGAATGTTTTTTTCTTACTTCCTATCTATTGTTCACCAAGATGTTTATCTGGTAACAGACAGATCCATACAGGCACTATGGCTGAAAAATGGCACTAGTATGAAAGACTGTCCACATAGCACAGAACAACAGACATGAAAAATAACATACAGTTATTTTGAGCTATGAGCCATTCAGAAGTTCAAAACCACAGGAAAAGCTTTGAAGCACTTACTTGCAAGATAGTAGAGAAAGCAGAAATAGTGCAGGCAAAATTTAAGAAATAAAGACAGAAAGAGTCTGTCTTTGCTTTTTAGTAACTTCAGTGTACCACAAAGTCCATTTGGCAAATGGAGGTAGTCATGACCTAGTCATTTCCAACCACGCAGATCCTATGTGCTTCTTTACAGAACAGAAGATAATGTCTGAACATAAAAGAATACAAATTCAAGACAAGTTGAACACTCTCCCTAAAGGGCTGGGAAAAAATCCTTTTATAACAACAGAATAGGAGGTAAATGCATTTGGTGTGTGGAGGTAGGCTGCTTACTATATATCAGTGATATCACTAATCTAGTTGTGAGAATGTGAACATGCACATAGGGAACAGGGAAGAGAATAAATACCTCAGCATTAAGATCATCATAAAACTCTTTTGCTTCCAAAAAGTGGAGGAATCCCAGAACCAATCTGTATGTGGGTAGCTGCTGCATACAAGCACTCTGATTAACAAAATGTTACACTATGATGGCAATTAAAGTGTTCCTACTCAGCAGCACAACTGAACCTGCCCTCCACTGTTAGTTAAGATGCAGATCAGTAAATCTATAGTAATTGTCACTTTTTCCTACTGCTTGCAGTCCTCTTAAAGCCGTGCTTTTAGATTCATTACAAGGGTCTGCACCATTCATTTCCATACCTATACCATCTCTTCTCTTGTAACAGGAGAACTCTGTAGGTACAAGTCTGCACAGACTTCCTCTAAGGAAGTTATTCAGCCAGAAGAAACCTTTGCCAAAAATACCAGTGTTATTCAGCTAGATTATGTTCTCTAATTTCGTTCCTCTACATGAAGACACAATCACTTAAGCAACTCCATGGGGAGTAAAGTGGAAGACAACAGATGCCCTGAAGATTGGAATACTTCAGAAAGATGGTCCCAAAGACCCATGTTTTTGCGTTTGTTGGTTTGGTTTGGGTTTTTTTATATAAAGAGATATCTTTCACATTCCTCCCAAAAGCTTCTTGTTTTTAACAAAAAGAGGTGGGTGGATAAATGCATGTCAGAAAACATGCTTTCAAAAGAGAACCAGTTCATAAAGACCATTCATAAAGATTAAATTCTCCCTAGCACCCTGTTCTTATAAGTTTACTAAAAATGTCAAGGGCCACAGCTTAACACCTGATCAGGGACAAGAATGAAACTCCAACTGAACTCAGTTTAGATCATTTGAACATTGTCCTGAGCTCAGACGCTACGTTTAACCTTTGCTGCTTCCTGAGGAAGTAGTTTTACTAGGGCTGGGGGCAGGAGGGCAGCCAAAGTAAGACCAGTCATTTCTACCCTTACCTTTTCACTCCATGCCCACAGACCAGCTGCAAGGAAGGCCACCCCAGCTAGCTAAAACAAAAAGAAAAGATGAATTAGATATACTAATCAACACATTCTCAAACACTTAGCCAGTAGCACTGTTGCTCAAGTAGAACAGATATTGTCTGCAACCTCAGACAACAGTAATGGGACATTCCTCCCCATGAGTCAATCTCTTGCGAAAAGGATTTAGAGTGCTTTTATTCCATAGTATTCTTGCATTTTATAAGCTACTTTTTAAAAGTATTTCAATTTGATTATTATTACTCTAGAAGCACATAGCACTAAATTAACAATTCCACCCAGTAGCAACAAGTGGGAGTTATCCTTGTCCCAATGACTTGCTCTAAACCTTTTGCCAAACTAATGAAGATTTCAGAATATTTAATGCATTTTGAGGTTATTCCCTATTTAGTCATTTTACCATACCACCCCCAGACAGTAGCCATGCCTGACTCTTCATAACTTCTCAGTGTCAAGGCTTATTATATTAGCCTGTGCTCTAATTAGATACAGTGTATCTTCTGAATCCTTACCTTGTTTAAGCCCTTTTGAATTAAGCTGAAGTAATGGTCCATCCACTTACTTTCAATAAGCAACAAATCTAATTGACAATGTACAAACCCTACACCAATTCATATGCTTGTGTAATAAATATTTCTGAATTATATTCATCCAAATGAACAAGAGATCCTTGTTCTAGTCTTTTACTCCCTTTCTTCATTCTCAGGCAGTTCATCTTTAATACCCAATTTCAATAACCAAACTAAAGTGACCTCTCTACAAACTGAGGGCAGCTCCCCCTCATTACTTAAAATGGCATTCTACCCTGCTATGTCCATGTAACCTTAAAAGACATTGAGGTGCTAGAGCATGTCCAAAGAGGAGCAACAAAGCTCATGAAGGGTCTAGAGAACAAGTCCTAAGAGGAGGAGCTGATGAAACTGGTGTTGTCTAGCCCAGAGAAAAGGAGGCTGAGGGGAGACCTTATCGCTCTCTACAACTACCTGAAAGGAGGTTGTAGTGAGGTGGGTCCTGGTCTCTTCTGTCAAGTAACTAGCGATAGGATGAGAGGAAATGGCCTCAAGTTGCACCAGGGGAGGTTTAGATTTGATATTAGAAAAAATTTCTTCACCAAAAGAGTTATCAAGCATTGGAACAGGCTGCCCAGGGAAGTGGTGGAGTCACCATCCCTGAAGGTATTTAAAAGACATGTAGATGTGGCACTTAGGGGCATGTTAGTAGTGGACTTGGCAGTGTTAGATTTATGGTTGGACTTGATGATCTTATAAAGGACTAATGTTCCCCCCCGCCCCAAGCCTTACACACATTGACAAGTAAATCCGAACAACTGAAAATATGCCTTGAAAAAGGAGCCATTTCCTTCTAGGGAATGCAACACCTCCCATGAACTAAATGGGCATCACAGGCAATTCCCCACAGCACAGGCAAGAAGTAAAAATGAGATCCTCTTACAGTCACACAGGAAAATATATGCATAGATTTTAAGTACTGCTGGGTTCACTGCCTGCTGACCCTAAACTGCACTCAGGGCAAATGAAGTTATAGAATCATTTAGGTTGGAAAAGACCTTCAAGATCATCGAGTCCAACCATCATCCATGCCCACTAAACCATGTTCTGAAGTGCTTTGTCTACGCGCTTTTTGAATAACTCCAAGGATGGTGACTCAACCACTTCCCTGGGCAACCTGTTCCAATACCCCACAACCCTTTCAGTAAAGAAATTTTTCCTAATATCCAACCTAAATCTCCCCTGCCACAACTTGAGGCCATTTCCTCTTATCCTATCTCCAGCCACCTGACAGAAGAGACCAGCACCCACAAGGTGTTCTGGGTTTACTCTACTGGGGAGTGGGGGAATGGAAAGCCACAAAGGGCTGCCAAGTGTCATTCATGTCATTCTGTACTCAAATGATGTTAGACATTTGTCTCTAGGCATGAAGTATTATATGGCATATTTTAGGGCTTAAGCACACAGATTAACCAACCAAATCCACTACTAATACATAGAAAAAGTTACAACTGGACAAAGCAGTACTAAATAAGTTAAATTTCCCAATGTTGCTTAATAAGCAACAGCACTATGACTACTTATCTCAGGCTCTGAATAAGCTAAGAACATTTAAAGTGATGATTTGGATCAAAGTACAACTTGAAAAATACTATTAAAAACCACATGGATATAAACAGAATATTGACCCAGATTACCCCTAAATCTTAACCCAGTGATTTTCAGACGAAGAAGCAAAATGGGGGGGTGGGAATCAGTCAAACTTGTATGTCATGAAGTTACCCAGGGCATGCAATTGATGCATCCTTCACCCTTTCTCATTCCAAATGTTCCAGGAATGCTGGGAGACAGGTGAAGACAGCTGGTATAATTTCAAGTAATCAGGGTAAATTACACAGTACATACAGCTGGATCTTTGGGAACTTTTTCTAAAGAAATAAGAAGGACAAAAAAAAAAGAATTGGGAAGACACACATCTTCCACACTCTGCATATAAACTAATGTTAGTGTAACACTAATACTGTGCTATTGAATATACAAACAGGGTGTCCACTGGCAGCCTTTCATTATAATTACCATCTTAAATTGTAATAGATTCTTGATTAAGTAGATTTTTCACTAGTATGCTTCATTCTCACCTCTGAACACTAACATTACTCATGTTTTTATAAAGCGTTCAGTTTCACAAAATTACACTATTTTTGCAAAGTTATTTCCATCAGCACCTATGCAAACTATCTACAAGTAAAACAGAGTTAATTAGCAGAAAAATAAACCTAGTCTCATAGAATCAACATAGATAAATCTAAAACTTAATTCAGCTAAGACAAGTGGTTCATAATTCTCACTAGAAGCAGCCAAACCACACACATTAGGTTTCTTTAACAAAAACAAGTGAAGTATGATGTACTTGCAGAAGAAACAAAGCCATCAGCCACTACATTTACAGGCACAATAACCAAGACAACCAATTTGCAAGGAAGTAAAAAGATCTATTTGCTTTAAATACCATGTGCAAGATTCTTTAAAGTATCTCACTGAAAACTATTGTAAAACACACCACAGTGATAAAACTAACTCAGAAGTTAGCGTGATTGATACCCAATACAGAGTTCTAGAGAGAATTAGCACCAGGAAAATACCCTCTCTTTACCACTCTTGCACAGAGGCATTCAAGTTGACTGCTATGAGGCAGACCAGGGAGCTGATCCAGCCTGAATTGAAAGAACAGTTTTAACCTTCATCAGCTCACTGAACTAACTGACCACATGAATGGGAGAACAGGCAGCTGAGAAGTAGCAGTGCTAACTGAAAGTGTTCCCAGGGTGAGAGTGAGCAAGCTAGCTATTTCAAGAGAGGCATTTTGAACTTCACCTTTCACCAGAATCTGGATGATGTGTAAGCAAGAACAAACCGGACTACCCAATTCACTCCTATGCCGTAGAGTCATTTCAGCCATATACTGCATGAAAGGTTAGATGGAAACATACACGAAGCAGCCCAACTGTATCCCTTTGAACAGGAAACTAAAACTAGTAATCAGCATTTGGTCATTTCCTGCTTTAGAACTGAAAAATCCACATTATTAACACATTGCATCAAGCTGTAAACTCCGCTCAGGAGACATACAATACTGACGCCAACTTACAGACACTGCACAAGACCACTTAGCTTAAGCATTATCTGTTCCTAACCACACTTCGAATTCCTTTGACTATGCTATTAGAATCAGCCTACTAACTGAGAAAACAGGTCTAATTTGTTTCTCAAATCTAGGTTGCAGCTAAACATAATTCTTGCAAGACAACCCTTGCACACAAACTAATTTTGGGTCAGCCTGCCTCAATGTCTGATTAAAGGCAATGGGAATGCGTTTCTATTGTGCTCGCTTTTTGTAAGCACAAAATGTTACCCTTACAGAGAACACTTTCTACCCCCTGGACAACCCTATTTTACATTGTAGCTCCACCCATGCTGGAGCAATCAGCACCCTACAGCCCTTCCTTCCTACCCTTGTCTCTTCCCAGACTTTTCTTCTCAGGGTCAGGAAAACACCTGGTGGTGGATTCTTCCTCTTCCTGGCACAGCCTTGCTGTTTTAGATGTTCCTGAAACACAACATACGCTGCAAAAGCCAAGAAAATCTTATGCTAGCCTGGGTCTTCTCTTACTTTTCAAAAATGAGATCAAAATTCTTTTCCAGAACTTAAGAGAATTTTTGCCTTTCATCATCATGTTCAGGGCAAAAATGTCACATCTTCTATAGCATGACTGAAAAGTTTTATTTTTCCTCCAAAACCCCTTAAGAGTCACACACAAAACTACAGAGCATTAGAAGATAAATCAAGATGACAGCAGCTAAAAGCTATTTTACCCTCTCTTCTCAATTAATCTGAGAGACAGTGAGCTCACATGCAACCTAAAAGGCTTTGGCAGATCACACATGCTATCTTTCACTTCACTGAAACAGCCATGTCCTGGCTGAGGTGAAATTCTTGGACTACTCAAAAAAATCGTTCAACTGGCAACAAAGGAGCAAGCAAGCGCCCAGAGACAGGTGATTGAGGCACTGCCTTTTATTCCCTGGGCCTTCCCAAATGCAGGCTGGAAGGCACAGAGCAGTGCTGCATCACAAGACAGGGCACCCCTGCCTCCTCCCTCCACTGAGGCTTTCACAGATGGCTCGCTCAGTCGCAAAATGACTTGGAACAGAAAGGTGCCAGAATCAAGCTCTTCACCTTGTATTACTGCAGTCTTTTAATTTCATTATGACAAATGAAGCTATTTGGAGGAGAAAAAAAGAGAAAAAAAAAAGCTTTAAAACTCAAAGGGAGGTCCAGCCTTGCTGTAATAGGGTAATTTCACTTAAACTTCTGAGCACTCCCTGCAGGGCTATCTTAACGGTTGCAATACTGCCTCATCACTAGTTATTAAAACAAGTGTACTTGGAGAAGTTAAATCTTACTAGCATGCTTAAAAAGCAAGATGAAAAAAAGTAATCCCACATTAAAATTATGTCTAGGAAGACAGAGCCTTCCTATGACCTCCATTCCCTTTCTTACAAGGGAAGGCCAATCACAAAGAATAGAGAAGTGATTTCACAAGCCAGTCGTACACAACTAACTCAAAGCCATCAAAACTGAACCTTCTATTGCCAAGTTGCCCATCTGAAAAAAAAAAACCCAACCAACAACCAAAAACCTTCCAAAGAATGAAGATTTACAGATTTCTAGAGGCTGATTAAACTATGAGCTCGCCATTAAGAGAGTTACATTTGTCCTCTTTGAGTTCAATATTTTGTTCCACACCAATGTGAACTGTATTTGAAACATGACACAAACTGAAAAGTAAACACCCACTAAAAAGTTTAAATATTCTGTAAACTACTCACTAAGTCACCATATGCTTTAACTTTAAAGTTTATACAGTCACTGATACTATTTTTAGAGCTACAACAGGGAAGTCTACATGCGTCTTTAGTAAGCATAACAGAAGAACAAATGCAACTCTATTTACATGCAAATTACCTGGCTTGTGAATAAACTGTATCATGAGTTGAGACACAGCTGAGCTACTACCATACCTCCAGTAACAGCTTAAGTGGGCAAAAGGCTGTCCGCACACCTATCTAAATACCATCCCTCGTGCCCATTATATAGTAGCCAGCCTCACTAATACAAACACTCACAAAACAAGCTCCCACAAGCACCTGTCCTGCAAGCCAAGAAAGATTAATCAAGACTAACATTCCCTCCTTAAATGCTGCTTTTTAGAGTCATGGTTACATTTCCCTTCTGATTTTGTAGCCCTTCGGTTCTTTTAAGGCACATAGAAAATTTACTTTGTTCTACACACGATGGATTTGTCCAATTAAAGAGATTGTTAGACTAGGCATCCCAGCCAGCAGGATGTCATAGGCTCCTGAATCACTGTGTCAGCTAAATGATTCATGCATTGCCTATAGGAGTGTCTACCCTCCCACTCAACATTTACATAGCTTGTTCTACAACTAAAGGTGCTGAACTCTTATCAAAAGAGCTGTAGTTACACATAATTTACCAGGTCAGCCTGATAATAACTTCTCAGCAGAAGCCTCAGACCATTTGTTGAGCGAGGTACTACCTGTTCAGAAAACCAACTCCTCCAGCCAACAGATGAGCTGAAGCACACAAACTGTATTTCAAATTCTCCTCAATTTTTCTGCATCTCTTCTTTAAGATGATTCTTTAAGAAAAATCATTGGATCTTCATCATCAATTTCAAGAGAATACAATAAAAAAAGAAATTTGAAAAACTGAAATGTAATGACTCTGCAGGGAATGAAAAAGAAAATAGACACAAAATTAATTCTTGTGAAAAAGCAGAGGCAAATTCTTGAGTCTTCCCAGTAAACACAAAAAATTTCAGTTTTTCAAAGGTTGTTTACCCATCAAAAGCAGTAACAGACTCACTTCATTAGACACTCAAAAGAAAGAAAGATGACTAGAACAATCCTAATATATTCATGAAAAAAAGAATGTCAGTTTCTCACATACTGCCACACTATCTGCTGAAGAGCATCCACCCAGTTAAAGTGATTTTTATGAAAACCAGAACAGCTTGACAAAAATCACTTCTCATTGTACCACACTCTACTACAGGTACATGGGAGTTGTACTATATGGAAGAATAAAAATAACTACAGAGCTGGTGGCCTTTGAGCACCTACATGTTGACACGAGGCCATAATAGGAACTGTCAATTGCTAGAGGCAAAAAAATCATCACTAACAAGCATTTGCACTATGGCAATATTGTGGCCAATTAACCCTTACTGGAAAAAAGTTTCTACACAAACCACACACATCTTTTCTGCCCTGTTACCCACACAAGGATAAACTCCCCTGTGGCTTAATAGTACAGTATCATGTTGAAACATTGCACTAATAAACAAGAGCTGGGAACAGCAGCAAAAAGTTCTGCGGTTTTCAAGGATACCCAAACATTGCAGTCTCAATATGACCTAGCCTTCTAACATTTTTATTAGGCTGAAGACAGCAGAAAATTGATGAGTAATAAACTCAGAAGACTCCCAGCTCTTCCCTTTGAGCAGTGTTTTTCTACCCTAAAAGGGTCTTGCTTTCAACAGAAAATTGGGCCTGATGACCTCCAGAAGTTCCATCAAACCTAGACTGTTCTATGATTCTAAATTAATTCAGAGTTTTGTCCATCATACATGCAGCTTTCAAAAAAGCTTATTTTCTACCTTAAATACTGCCAAAGCAGCTGAAATGGGCACAAACACCAACCTAGTTTACCAGAAGTTTATGTGGGTTAATCAAGCAAAATACCAAGTTATTACTGACAAGTACGAACAAGATTCTACAGCCTGTAACTTATGTTCAGACACAAAACCCCTTTTTTTACTGAAATTAAATACAGATTTGGGTAATAATTCTGTGTATCTTAAGTTTTAGGTAATAAAAAGTTTACATGGTTTAAGGAACCCAGTAAACAAATGGAATATAGTCTTTTCTAGCATGTCTACTGATCTCAGACAAGTCGGGATCAGGAGGATCAATTTTTACCCTTAAATAAGTAGCTTCAACCACATACCATATCTTCATTCTAACTATCTGATCCTTTCAGCTTTGAAAAGATCTAAACATCTTTAGAAGTGGCTATCCGTACTAAGAAATATTTCAACTCTGAATCAGAACATTAACACAAGCTACTAGCACAAGGCAAGACACTGTATCTGCACTTCTCCATGACTACCCCATCTTTCTATCTAGGACTACAGTTTCCACGACTTCAGGTGCAAACTCCTAACATTTGACCTGTAAGTTCTGAAAAGAATTATCAAGTTTATCTGAACTGCATCCTTAGCTTCACCTTCCCCTCACAGACATGTTAACTACTTCTAATGCAATGCTACGCACTAACCTTTGAATAGCCTTTTTTTCCCAAGGTAGTTAGGTGCTTCAGTGATCTTGACCATCATCTAAAACCACACACTTGTTTTTGCACCCTTTTCACATTCACAATTCTAAACAAACATCATAGGCAGGCTAGTCCCTAGCTAAGTATTTCAAGACAGTATCAGACAATTTTGCTGCAAACAGAGCATGACATTTAAGATCTTGACTATGCCAGCTGGGACACATCTTTGCGGCAGTTCTTTTCTTCTCTTCTGCATAGTGTATTTACAGCTACACCACCCCAACATAGATATCAAAGATGATCTGGAAGGAGATATTAGAAGAGACTTCTCTTAACAGGGAAGCAACTTAACATACCACTTAAGTGCACTCAGAGGTAGCTTTAACCTTTGCCCAAACGCAACCAGCATTTAATGGCCTCCATCACTCAAAAGACAGAGGCCTTGTCAGCAACAGCAGAGACTGTACTATTTTCTTTTGACAAATCCTTCAAGCAGATCTTTCCTTTCTCCATTAAAAACAAACAAACTAGAAAACCAGCTTTATCTGCTTCACCCCTTTATCTTCGCTCAGAAGGTAAGATAGGAGTAAGTGACCAGGAAGGGAAAGATTGTGAGGAATCAGTATCCGTATAATTTTCAATAAGAATTACTTTCTCACATGGGATAGGCTTCTTCAATTCCGAAACACTTGGGACATACCATACATCAGCTTCCTGCTTTCAGGTAAATATTTCAGCCTGTCCTCTCAAACAGAGGAAGTTAGTTAATAAAACTGAGTGGTTTGGGTTTGTGTGGTGGGGTTTTTTGGTAGCAGGGGAAGGGCTGCAGGGGTGGCTCCTGTGAGAAGCTGCTAGAAGCTTCCCCAGCTCCAAGCCAGACCCGCCGCTGGCCAGGGCCGAGCCCGTCGGTGACGGTGGTATCACCTCCGGGATAACGACTTTAAGAAGGGAGCCTGCAGTGAGTAGTGGGATCGGAACGTGAGAGGAACCCCTGTGCAAATACTGAGGTCAGTGCAGAAGGAGGGGGAGGAGGTGCGCCGCAGGAGGGGCTGCCCCTGCAGCCCATGGTGAGACCAGACGGCAGGCTGTCCCCCCCCAGCCCACGGAGGGGAGCGGGGGAGCAGACGACACCTGCAGCCCGGGGAGAGAGGAGCCCACGCCAGAGCAGGGGGATGGATGCCCCCCAAGATGGCCGTGACTCCATGGGAAAGCCCGCGCTGGAGCAGGCTGTGCCTGAAGGACTGCAGCCTGTGGGAGGGACCCACGCTGGAGAAGTTTGTGAAGGACTGTCTCCCGTGGGAGGGACCCCACGCTGGAGCAGAGGACGAGCGAGGAGTTCTGCCCCTGAGGAGGAAGTAGCGGCAGAGACAACGCGTGACGCACTGACCCCAACCCCCATTCCCCGTCCTGCTGCACTGCTGGGGGCGAGGAGGTAGAGAAATCGGGAACAGAGTTGAGCCGGGACGGAGGGAGGGGTGGGGGGAAGGTGTTTCAAGGTTTGGTTTTACTTCTCAGTATCCTTGTTTTGATTTGATTGGTAGGAAAAAACAAAATCAATTTAATTTACCCCAAGTTGAGCCCGTCTCCTGCTCATGACCATAAGTGGTGAGTGATCCCTCCCTGTCCTTGTCTCGACCCACGAGCCTTTCGTTGTATTTTCTCCTCATCCCACGATGGCCGGCGGGAGTGAGCGAGTGGCTTCGTGGTGCTTTTTTATCGGCTGGGCTTAAACCATGACACTGAGGTATGCCTAAGCTACTTCAGTCTCTACATTTTATACTCACCCAGAAGACAATGTTGTAGCTGAAGAGCAGGTATTTGTACCAACAGCTGACTTCTGCATTAGAATATCGATAATAGTGCATCTTCTATAGCAGAGCGTCTGTGCAAAAAAGAAAGAATGAGAAGAATTAGGCAGTGAAATATTTTAAGAATAAAGAATTTCTTTCCAGATCTTTTGCTCTGTTGAGAATGAGACTACAGTAACCTGTACCGTATGCCATTCAGAGGCATGTTCAAAGTCAGCTCAGAAATTTCTGCTGACCCTAAACTCCCTCCAAGTATCTGTTGCTTAATAATCCTTATCTTCTTTAAGCACCCTTATGTGGTAACAGGGAGGGACACCCAAAAAGGAAACTAGCTATACAGTTAGCCTAGGAAGATCTGCATCAGCAAGCTGACATTCATCCGCTTTCTCACTCCTTTAAAACCATTTTACTTGTACAGATGGCTGCTTGGACTTACACAAAAGTTTAAACACACCCTGTGGATTGCACATCCAACTCAGCTAGCAAGATGTTAGAAGTGGTTACCAGGAAAATCTCAATGTCTACAGACTGCTAAATAAAATGGGCAGTTGTACTCTGTCTTCTCCATACTTCAGTGTTTCTTTACCAAATCAATACCCTGTAAAAGGTTTTATTCTCAAGAACAAAAGCCCCACCATTAAACAGCTGATCTGCTCTGCAGATTTCGGTTTCCTTGCTTCCTTACATACACTAGAGATAAGGTTCAACTGCAACTGTTGCTCAAATATTTCAGAGAACTACAGCTCTTCAGAGTACCATAACTAAACCACCTCTGCAGAAATGCCATGCATAGGAAAAAAAAAACCAGAGGACAAGCTGTTAAAGCGAGAGCCGGAGCGGGAAAGACAAAGCACTCGCATAGCCCCCACATTCTAGAGGGCTGACTGCACAAGTGCTGCTTATGATAGTCAAGAAGCAGTTCCACGTTTCAACCCTCCGCTCGCTTGAGGCAAATGTTTTCCTCCCATAAGATGTCAGTGAAAGGCTTGTAACAGGGATGCAAACACAGAGAATTTTCAAACACCTCATAACTAAGGAAAAAACTTCAAGGACTATGCTGACCTGGACATTCACAGACAGCATGCAAAAACCAAGACTACCCAGCAAAGTCTGAAACCAAGCACCATGGAACAGAGAACTGAAGATCTCCACGACATCCACAGCTATGAGAAGGGAAACTAATTTATTTTTTTTTTAGAAGGCAATCCGCACCTGGTTGTAAAAACCATTCCCACTGAAAGAAGGAACAGAATCAAACACTTGTCAGCAGAGAATCCCATTCAATACAATAAACAGCTTGCTTTAGCTTTTAAGTAAAATACCCATTATTCTCCAGGACAGTTATGGAGTACTACCATCAGTGTCTCACTGGAGGAGCTTATTTTTTTGAAATCTCAACACAAATATTTCATGCCTTGCCTTAAATTTTTTTTCCCCTGAAGCTAAAACTACACACACACAAACAGATCAAGGAGAAACAATGGGCATCTCCAGCCCATAAGACTATGGACAGAGATCCCAAACAGACTTTTATTTTTCTTCCATAGGTCTCCCCATGCCAGGCTTGGCTTCCATCCGGAAGCAGACTGAGAATCCCTCCTTGGTCCAGACACATCCCCTGTCCCTCTTCAAGCCCAGCCAGGAAGTTTCTTTGCTGCACAACCAAATGGAAATAGTTTTCAGAAATGCAGAAACCATGTAGAAAAATCTAATGAGGGTACATTTTGGTAGAATACTCCATAGCTTTAAGCAGTTATGGAAAAAACAATTGCAAAATCACATGACTTGGCATACTGAGGTAAGACTGCAAGACTTGTGAACAGAGAATAATTTGGTTTTTTTTCAAGCTAAGATGGCCTGCATGCGCCTAAAAGGAATTTTCAGATCCTACTGAAAGTTGGTAGGTATTAGGCAACTCTAGATTACCACATCTGGACAGACACAGTAGCAATAGAAAAATCAGTAAAAGGAATTAATCCTCCTGATTCCATATGAGATGGAGTAAAAAAATCCATGAGAGAGTAAAACTGAGTTAAGTCAGAACTAAAACTTTTTTTCCTCAATAGCCCCAGTAAAGGGACTGAACACACAGAATGAACTACTTAGCTGGTTTCAGAGAAATGGCAGAGTCTGGAGAAAGATTAAAGGATATACTGCACATTCTTATAGAAACAATACCTGCAAAATTTGTGAGGCTAGAGAGCATAAACATTCACCATTAACACCCGACCTTGATATTTCCACAGTTCAGGTGTTGATTTCCACACAGTTTTAAACAAACACTGAAAACAAGTTTTTTTGCCTTCCAAAACCTCACCTTATAACTAGGTTCTAATGCTCACAGTTCAGTTATAGCAAAAAGCACTTAACCTTTGCTAAAACAAAGAAAATTGTACTTTATGGCAGTACAGGCAGTGACTGGAAAGGACTTTCCTAGATGTATGTGACCCACTCATATACCTAAGATGAGTTTTGCAATATACATTCCTAGGAAGTACAGTTTTGTTTCCTCATGCCCTGGTTCAGCTTTAGTTACAGACCTTTTCAACCCACTCAGTTTCACAGACAACACTTAGGAATCTTACTATTACGAGACATAGTAAAGAAAATTGTTTAAAACACCACTCTTCTGACATGCTTTTCTAAGCCTGCAGCTGAGAGACTAAAAGAGAAGGAATGAACACTTGGTTTTCCCAACTTCTTCATTTCAGTCTCTAGCTCCAAAAGGCAATTTATTTTTCAACAATCAATACTCATACACTTGTCCAAGTCAGTAAGTCTGATGGGTCAGGGGAAGAGAGGGAAAAGAGGGAATATTAGGAGACAACAGACGAACCCCACTAATCCGAGCAGAGTCCAAGACTCCATTTGCACCAGTGTAAGCCTGTATTACAGCAATACACTAGCTGCCAGGGCAAACATGTTCTCCAGATGCAGGCACACTGAGGCCTCCACCACTGTTCTGCCTCCCTCCCCATGAAAATCAGGATCCTGGCAAAAGACAGGAGCAGCAACTGTAAAATGCACATACTACTAATAAAAACCATTGCTTTTGCTGCTGCTACTACTACAAGAGGAGTGAGCAAGTGGCATTTAGCTAGCACATCATTAAGTTCCATAAAAATGGGGTTCTACTAGACAAAACGGCTTAGACTATAATCTGGGGCAGAAAGGCAAGCATACCATTTCAGGACCTAAAATACAAGTCTGAAGTCTTACTTTTTGTTAGGTTGCCCTCCCTGGCATTGGGACTTTGCATCCAACTGTTCAAGTTCCAACTTCAGTGAAACTATTCACAAGAATAAGAGCATCAAAAGTACCTTTACTGAGCACCATTCCCTACGTACCTCATCGTTTTGACCACCAGTGTGTAAGACATTTGCCCCTACTTTCCCATACAACTAGCAAGATGCCCCAGCCAATTCCAATCACAGTATTTTCACAGAATGAAAAAGCAAAATGTTTTTAATACGCCTTTTTTTTTTTTAATGCTCTGAAGTGACAGGGGGCCTAGTACTAGCAGTACTGGTTCCCTGTTCCAAGAAGCTGTCCTATAACAGCACACAGCTCCCCAGACAGATGTTACCTTGTGAAACACCTGCCTATATTAAGAGCAGATTTGACTTACTCTCTTTGCTTATGCTCATCAGGAGTCTTTTGGTTCTTCTTGACGGACTACCGAACACCATACGGCACAGTGTAATCACTACTGCTGTGGGAGTGACATTCTGACATAATAAATCTAAAGTGGAGGTGTGTCTGACTTTTTCCCCTAACCCTAACAAATAAACATACCAAGCAATCCACTCAAGGCCACACAGCCACCTTCCCCATGTTTATCCTAAAAGCAGTCATGTTTCCTAATGTAGGAGGCATCTGTTACCAGTCCAGAAATCTGCTACATCAGTATTTCATTTAATTTACATCACAGGCTACATAACTATGGTTAGGCAATACTACAAAACACTTGGAAGATTAAAGTATGTGGGCAGCATAGACTAGTAACTTTCTCTACAGTGTTTCAGACAAAGCAAGTCACATTGTGTCAGCTGACAGTTATCACCCACCCATGACAACAGAGCAGTGCTACTTTGGCAGAATATATAATTTTGTCTTGGTGTTTACAGCTTTAGTGAGGGGAAGAAAACATGGTCATTCATCAAGAGACTACTGCCATTTCCAAAGCATTTCTACACCCACAGATTCCACTCTTACCTTCAAAATGCTACAGCAGTGACATTCATAGTCTATAGATTTTAACTCTCATAAAACAGAAGCTGTGATATATTAAACAATCTAATTCATGTATGCAGGGAAATCCTCACAGATAAGATGTGCATTAGTGTTCCAGATTTGTTCTAGATCTAACATCTCTAGATCTAGGTCCACAAATTCTTTTGACCCTCAGGAGGCGTTAACTTTACAAGGGAGACATAAGTCACACTGAAGTTCCAGGTTCAGACAGTACTGCCACCATATGCAGTCCTGATCTCCTTCCCTGTACCCTCCTAAAATCCACAACCATTAAACATCCTACTCAGTGGAGCAAACAATCATACAGCAAATCATGTAACAAATCTTCAGATCAATCCTGTGATCTTGTACCACATGCCAAGAAGAAAACAGTTTTAAGCCTTCCAATCTATCTCCCCAGAGCTCATAAAATGCCAGTGTGGGTGCAGCCAGGAGGTGGCAGGAGAACAAGGATGGGAGGCCAGAAGCAATGCTAGCTTCTAAGAGTGCTTGTGGAAATGCAGCACCCCTGCAATGCCAGCCTAAACCAGCACCACAGGATACACAACACTTCAAGCTAACACACTGAAATGGATGAAGCTGGGGTAACAGGGACAGAACTAAGACAAGAGAAAACAAAGAAAAATAAATTAATTTTGTAAGCTATTGGCTGCTCCCCCCATCATTCATCAATACAAAGCATCAAGTCTATATGAAGCTGGTGAAGCAAATCAACAAAGTCAAAAGAAGAACACACTGAAGAGCAAGAAGAATTTTTAAAACAGGATATGCACTTTGGCCTATTGTTTGATATGACTAAATTCCATTACTTCATCAACAC